GACAGCTCCGAAGCGAAGGTTGCCGACATCGAAGACCTAAGACATTGGTTAGTCTATCATGCAACGGGTCGAATATAGGCATCCAGTTGCCAAGGGAACTTACGGCATAGATACCCTTCAAGAAGGTGTCTCCCAGGATGTCAAAGGTCATATCGCCACGGCTCTGGATTCCACCATAGACATATCCAGTCTTGGCTTCGGCGAAACCGAGATCCTCCTTCTGCACGACGAACTGCTTGCCGCCGACAGCAAACGAAACAACGGGAAGGTTGTCCTCTGTGGTATCGGAGGGATAGATATAACCTTGGGTCTCGTTGTCATAGTACGCGCCCGGGATAGCATCGTAAATAGCCTGGCAGGTTTCATCGTCCACCAGCGCCAGCGTTGTGCCAGTGTCAGCGATCGCCTTGTTTCCGGAGCGCGTGATCGTCTTTCCATTGACCGTGGCGGAAGTAGACTCAAACATCCAGAACCCTTCGCTGTTGTCGATAGACGTGTAGGAGATCTCCTGCCCGGACGATTGCACGGTGGCATCGTCGATGAACCCGAATGTATAGAAGGACTCGCCCTTGTCGGGCTCGTTGGCATCCCGCCACGAGCCCAGCTTGGCCGTGAACAGAGCAGACGAGTCCGGAATGTCATCCTGGGCGATCATGTTCTCGACGGGCGTCTTGACGGCCTTGGGCTGGACGGTGTTGATGCTGCCAAACGCCAACCCCAGCAGTCCGTCACCGGCACCCTGGGCGAACTCGGTCGACATCTTCTCGGCCAGCTCGACGGCTTGGTTCTTGATGGTGATGCCGCCGATGTCCACGTTGTCGGTGCCGACCGTACCCGACGCAGAGGAGCCGTCGCCGTACGAGATCTGCCACGTGTAACCATCCTCCTCTTTGAAAGTGCTCGACTTGGACGGGTCGAAGACATTGTGGCTCTTGCCATACTCGGAAATGGTGGCAGAGGGGAGCTTAGTGGACCAGACCTATTTGATTCTTCTCAGCGATGCTGACTCCTCCGGACACATAAGGTAGATCTGGTGCTTGACTTACCCACAAGTCCGCTGAGCCGGTGTCAAAGTCCAGACTCACAGTCTGCCCAGGTGTACCAATGCTCACTTGAGCCAGGTACTCTGAATCGTTCTGCACGTCCTCGGCACTAACTTCACCGACCTGGTCAGTGCCCACCGTGCGCTTCTTCAGCGCCCGCCGCACATGTGCCTTGCCACCGATAGGCTTGTCATGGTACACCCGACCGACCTGGTGAAGGGTGGGTGCGAAGAAGTAAGGGCCTTCTTTGGTTGTATTGAAGCGGTACTTGCGCAAGAGGTGCACGTAGGACTTTGTGCCCGACCTCTTGTAGTTTAGGTTGGGGATAAGTCGGATCTTGGTAGCCATGATGGGGCAATTGGGTAAGTCAGTATATCTCACAATTGGAGTTTAGTCAATGTATGTTTAATGGGAAGAAAATAGCTGGCAAGCTGAAAGATTGGAGAGAGGAGGAGGGAAAAGGCGAGAGCAAGAGGGAAAAAGAAAGGATTCGGACCACCAGTGGTCTTTATTTATCCTTCAGCTCCTTCTCCGACACTTCAGTTCTTGCTCCAATTAACCCACCACAAGGCATCGCCCATTCCCCCTCGCACGTCATGCATTTAATCTATTCTGTTCTTCTCAGCTGAGGGCAATGGACTCCGGCTCTTCTTTCTCCTTCCCCTCACTCTCTTCTGTAGCGGGGCGAGCCGAGGCCGGTCTGTAGGGGCTAGTGAATTCAGGATAAGTGGATCTGCACGATGACGCGGTATCAGCTGCAGCTGTCAACACACAACCCATGCTGAACTGATAAGCTCTGTCAGGGTCACCCTTCAACCCAGCCAAAGGGCACTTCGGAATCCGTCGGCTCGATTGTGCTATATCATTGTCCAGGGTCCTGCAAGCGAGACCTGTCCTCAGCCCCCCAACAGCTCCCTTGGTGGTTGGCTGGCAGTTCAGCCAGCGGTCGACACGAAGTCTGATGCCATGATCTGCACAGTGCGGATGCTAAGTTTAGCCAAGCTGGGCTTATCATGACCCTGGGACTTATCATACGACGACCTTGATTCCTTTGCACCGATCGGCAGATGGCCTTTCCCGCGAGGTTGACGCGACCGACGGTGTCATAACTTGGATCATACGCCTCGCCCACCATCATTGGCGCAGCTGATTTACACTAGCCGTATCACTAACTATCCATGAAGTGCGATCGTCGCTTCAGAGGACAAGCTCACAGCGCCACTTGCCTCGTCGAGCCCAGCTCGGCGGCTGTTGCCTGTCGCTTCTAATGTCTGTACTTTGCACGATTGGCTCGCTTCTGTGACAATGCCTTGTGAGGGTTGGCGATGGTGGCAGAATAGCCGGTTTTGACGGAATGCAGTGATCCAATCATCCTCCTGTCCTGTGTTGTGGACGTGATGCGATAAATGGTCATCGGGGTGTGGCTTGTGACGAGGCACTTTCGCATCACCTTCTCTTGCGAGGGCGATTGCGAGATAACACCATGACCCTGACATCTCAGTACTGAGCATCCGCTCGAAAAGTACAAGGCATCATCGGCAAGATTTTGCTATCATGGATCCACACCACTTCGGCTGGGTGGGGTGACGGACGGGCCGGGCGATCGACCCAGTAGAACCATGACCTTCGCGTCGAGTCGAGTGCTGAATGCGATCTCGTCGTTTATCGTCGCCTGGTCCGATGCAGTATAGTGAATGCCAGACATGCAGTTCACTCGCACCCATCTCTGGGTTGAATATGCTGGTTCTACGTATAGTTACCAGCTCGTCGCTTCGGTGATTCGGTAGTGGTTCATGTGCCTGTTGACCGAACTTGGGATCTATTTGAGGGACAAGCATTTGACTGCAGCATGACTTTAGACTAACCCTGGCGATAGCACACTCTCGCATTCTCTCCTCTTCAAAGCTCCTAGCTCACGAGCACCCGAGCGGCTACCTGCTCGCCACGACCACAAGCCTTGTATATACCTCAAGATCCCGTTCCGTCCTTGAGGAAGTATCCTTGCATTCAACAGATCGTGTTGAGGTGATGCCTCTCTTCTCTTCGACTCATGGACAAACTTCACACGGCCACATATTGTCGTTGGAGCGCGCTGGGCTCACTCTGGCGCGCATCGTAGCCTGCGTTGCTCGGTGCGTAGCCTAGCTTCTCAACCTGAGTACTGCACTTGGTTGACGGGGTGAATGACGTGGTCGGGCGCACAGGTTTACTATACATTAATGTACATAAGAGGCGTGCTCTACGTACGTACTTGGTCCGAAGCTCCTCTGTCACGTTTTCTAACGAGACTTCTTCAGAGCTATGGTCAAGGACACCGGTCGATAGTCTGCTTATGGATTTAGGGCGATGCCAGTGTGTCGAATCGTGTGAAGTCATCGGGCAAGCTTCCTTCCCTTCCCCCGTGGACATTGTGTGCATGAAGTACTTGACGCAGTCTTGTTTGGATACTGTCATCAGTTCATTCAACTTCTCTGCAAGATTCCTCATGCCCTCCTTGATGCTGTCCCAGCTTTAAGGGGGCAAAAAACTTCTCATACGATCCAAATACATAACAGTATTGATAGAAACTGTTTGCTTTTCGAGTCGGATGCAACCTAGGAACTATCTGTCTTGGGAAGTGCGGATCTCGAAGCTAGAGTTATTTTTACCACAAATCAATCCCCCCATCCTGTCATAATCGCCAGTCTAAAGCTGTATTAGTAGACTAGCTACACGTGACTCTCCATATTGCGTAAGAATGACCAGCCCCTCAATAAAATAGGTTGTGTAGTGTAATGGTTAGCACCCAGGATTCTGATTCCTGTAATCCCGGTTCGATCCCGGGCACGACCTTTTTTGGCTTCTTCTTTCTTTCTTTCTTTCTTTCTTTCTTTCTTTCTTTCTTTCTTCCTTCCTTCCTTCCTTCCTTCCTTCCTTCCTTCCTTCCTTCCTTCCTTCCTTAATTTCCCTTGGAAGTCCTGAATCTAGAAACGGTTATTACTTCGATAAAACCCCCATCTTGATCACGAAGATCATACAATGTCCAATCGCACAACCTCGAAACAAGGCCCCGAAATCCCAACCGTCACCTAAGCGAATCTCTCATAGTAAAGTATCCAACTCTTCCTCACCGACCCGTCAAACATCACCAGGCAATTTGACAACCAGTAGTCATTCAAACCCGACCGGAGTAGTTACTTTATAGTACTGGGTACATCGGCACAGACCTCCTAATCAGTTACTCTGTAGTGTGGGAGATGAAGGAAGGGGGGGGGGGGGGGGTGGGAGGCCACAATCGCCGATCAACCGCGTATATATACTTCATCAATACTGTACCACATACCGCATACCACCCGCCGCATATTGTACCGCGCGATGATGGCACCCACGCACCCAGTTCATTCATGCGTCTACATCACCCACCCAAAATCCCTCATACCAACCTAGCCATGGAGTCAGATCCAAAGAGGAGGGGTCAGCCCAAGCCGAACAAGGCAGGCCGCGCATGACACCACCTCCTCACAAGCGGCCTGCATCCGGGCACGCGACACCCCCGGAAAGGGGGATTGGGGAGGGGGTTGAAGCTAATCCCCGGGGAGGGGAAGTACAGTGCATATTGTACAAAGACATAAGACATACTCCGTACACACACCTATAGACTTTCTCTCCTCTGCTTCTTGCTTATCCTCCTCCTGTCGCTCTAGTTGAGTGTGTTCCTCGTGCCCTACGGGAGATGGTTTTTCTCGGATGTTGGTGGGGTCTCTGTGTTTATATCGATGGTCGACTGTCTCGATCTGGATCGAGTATAGAGGGGCTTGCTCACTGTGCCCGCAACAAAGAAACGGAGTCTCCGTACTCCGTACCGAGTACTGAAACCACATTATAGAGACCCAGGACTCGAGCTGGATTGTCCCCACCTTCCGACACTAACAATACTTTAGATACAGTTTGCACGAGCAGAATCCCATGGTTGAGGTTCGTCTGGGCTGGGAAATGCTGGGGCTTTTTGCTTGCCCCTCTTTTTTTCTCGATTCTCGCAAGAAAGCCAGGGCCCGATGACTTGACTTTTGAATAGCTCAATTCCAGATCATATCCGAGTTGGTGGATTCAATCTGGGTATTCTTCCCTTCCACCCCCGAGTAATTGTTGGCTACTACTGACAGAAACAACGCAAGAACGACGAGACTTGAGGGGAATATTAACACAGAAAAGGGCAAAACGGAACGCAACGCAACATGTTCATGACCCATGTGCTTGAATCAAACCAACGCCGCAGAGCCCCCAGTGATTAATGATGTAGTTGGACAGCAAATAATGCAATGGCCCCTCCCGAGCGAGAAAACAAGGAGAAAAGAAGATAAGATAGAGAAGAAGAAATAGGAACATCTGAAGATCAAGCAGAAGCCCACTCGACAACCTCCAAGGCACACATTACAAGGAAAAGAGTGGAGGGTAGGATCCTGCAGGTTCACGGTCAGTCATCAATTCTGGTTGCTTGAAGGCCAAAGACGCTGGTACGTACCACACCACATAACTCTGGAATAACAGTTTCGACATGGCGCTGACATAGACGTTGTTTATCTGACAGATTTGTGCCAGTTGCAGGGCCGATGGGGCGCCCGTGAGCAGGAAGCAGACGATGATGAAGATCGGGTCGTCCAGAATGCTAACCGGCACGTACTTGGCCAGCAGCGCGAGGATGGGTGCCATGATGAGCGTGGGCAGCACCATACGCGCCACCAATGAAGCGATGATCAGCTTCTTCTCCTCCCTCGGATGATCGACGTCTTCGAGAGCCTCCTTGGGCAACGTGTTACGCTCGAGATTCGCACCCAACACCACTAAGATTAATGGTACGGCAACTTGGCCGTTCTGGCTGATAGCTCGCGTCACTGAATTGCGGACGAAGGTTCCCTCATCGAAGAACAGGCTTTGCAGCGAGGGAACGGACGCCACTACGATCGAGATGAGCATAGCCCACAGGGGTGGGTTCATGAAGTCCCAGAGTCCGTGGGCAAATTTCCGGGCACCGTTGGAACCAACCTTCAGCGTCTTTTGCACACCCACAGGCAGTCGTCGGAAAACTGTGCCGGTGGCCTTGTTCCAGACGCCTGCAATCTTACCACGAACCCGGTTGGCCGACCTCTTGATGCGTGGGATGACTCCGGGCTGGTTTTCTTCGGCCTGAGCTGCCACCTCCACATTCGGGAAACACATGATGTCGCCGGTAGTGCTCTGGCGGGGGAGGAACGGCCCCTGGGGAGGGGGTCCAAGTACGGTCGGGTCGATGGATTCGTGTTCACCGGCGCCATGAGACGGCAGCTTCGTGTAGGGGTAGTCCCGCACGCTCACGGGCGTCTCCTGCCCGGAAGTGAATGCATCGTCGTCGACGCTTCCCGAGGACTCCGTCACATCGTCCGACTCGCGAGTCCTCACTAGAGGTTCATCGGGATCAATCTGTTCAGGGTTGTCTGTGTATCGTTCCTGGCCCTGTCCGATAAGGTTGGCGCCCTGCTCCCGTTCGCCTTCTTCCAAGTACCGTTCTTTGGGAGCAAGCAAGACGTGGTAGCCCCAGCTCCAGCGCACAAGTTGGCCCAACTGCTGGAAAATCAAAAGGTAAAGGATACCACGCGCCGCCACTTCATCATCGTTGTCGTTTGGTATACGATCCCAGTGGAGGCCCTGCAGGGTCTGCGAGAGGGACATGACAAGAGAAATAGGAAGCGAGTTAGAGTTTCCGAAGACCTGCAGCAATCGGGATTGTCAACACACGGAAAATGAAGCTTCGTCCAGGTCATCTTTGGCACTTACCGCCATAGCCGCAACAAAGTTGGACGGTCGTTTCTTGAGCCGCAAGCATCGTGAGACGACGAAAGCACACGAGTACGACACGATTGTTTGAACAACGAAGATGGCAGGGATGATGGCGAGGTCGGTCAGCTTTTCAGCTGTGAGCTGAGATCCGAGCTTTGTGAAGACTACAGACAAGCACAGTCAGCAAAAACCCAAGGTGCTTGGACAGTGTGTTATGTTTTTCGACATACTCAGACACGGTGTAAACAGCGTAACATTTAGGTTTGCGACCAATTTCTGAGCATCGGCATCGAACAGACCCTGCTTGGCAGCGAAGTATCCCGGGAGACTGACACAGACTACCTCGAGGACAGCTTCGAAGACGAGCAGCACGAGGTGGAAGAAGGATGGGTGATTTGAATGGGGAGCGCCACTTGGGAAAATGACGGAGCCCAGTCCCGGTTGGGACTGGGTTATGATTTGAGGCGATAGAGGCGAGTGAGCATTCTGGAGGGACCTGGGAGAGGTAAAAATGGCCATCGACGGGCGGGCGGGCGGGCGGATGGGCGATAGGGTGAGACGGGTTTTGACTGTAACGCAGAAAGTGAAGGTATGAAAGGGAGATGGTAGACTTGAGATCGAGAGAGAGAGGAGGGGGGAAGAGTAGGGTGTGTTCCAATGGTAAGTGAGGGCGATGACGCGGACCAGACTGGTCGATGATGAGATTCTTTGAGATAACGGAGAAGGCGGTGGACGAATGAGAGGTCAATTAAGGTTGGAGCTGCTTTGGGTTTAGAGCGTTTTTCTCGCCCTGCAGGCAGTGTTGCTCGGTGTCAAGAATGATCTCCGCTGATCTGATCCAATAGTAGGAGTACTCCGTACAATGTTAAGATACAGTTAGTCCAGGTACTCAGTACTTCAGTCCTCAACCATTAGTACGGAGTACTTATGTTGATATACAATAGGTTAGTTAGTATATGAGAGTAATCCCATTGCAGCACCTACTCAGCACCCCCCGAATCTTACACAATAGCCGCATAGGTCGAATGAAGAATGAACAAACCCTTGAAGGAACCAGCCGTAGCTGGTTTCGGGTAACGCCAGGGCGTACGGTGGCCTCCGATAGGCGGAGTCAAGGGGGGCGCGGTCCATCGCGCCCAGCCGTGCCAAGGCAGCCTGGTTTCCAGCTCTAGTACTGAGTAGACTGGTGAACTACTCCGTTTAGTAGACTACCTAGTACCTAGATTCCGACGAATAGTGAAGCACTGCACTTGTGTCTGGTCGATAACCTCTGTGACCCATGTTTTATACTCATACAAGCACTAGTACTCCGTACTTGCTCACTTAATTCTCGGATGTTTTCTTTTCTTGACAGCCTCCTACCCATCCCTCCCTCCAACAGGCGATCCAACAGGGTTGCTTGGCAGGGTGATACGGAACCATGGAGGGTGAAGTCATAGCCACCACCCTTGGCGGACAAAGACAGAGGAATAGCCACCAGCAAGGGTGGGTGAAACGTGTCCCTTGGCTACACTGCCAATATTCGGTCTGACTCGCTCACTGAACTCCAGATGTATAGTACAGTATGTACATAGTGCCGTGCAGTGCAGTTGATAGTTACGGAATGCGAGGGAAAAGATTGATAGTATCATGATGATGAAACCCTCCCCCCGCCGTGGTTATGTCATGATCAGCAGCCAATGACAGGCAATTTGACGCACGGCAACATCACCCGATCAGAATCCGACCCTTCCATGTGAAACCCCAAAGGTAATAGTGGGTTGTCTCAAGGCCTCAGAGATTATTGCAGATAGGTACAGAGTAGTAGATAGTTAGATAGATCACTGCATGTTTATCGGCTGTGGTCTTATGCGTATTCCCACCCATCGTTCAATTGCTCCAAGTGACACTCCGTCCCGACGATCGTCCTCGCTAGTTGCTGCATCAGCCGTCGGTCATTAAACGAACCTGCGTAAACTCTACAGTAGTTCAGGATATCCTGTTCTTTATTTCGTACTTTTGACACTGTCTGCTACCGCACCTTCCTTTGCATGGGAGAATGTAGTATGATGTGCAAGAAAAGAAAAAAAAAGGGAAAAAAAAACCTTAGAAGAGGGGATGGGAATACTTCCGCAGCAGCTTCCCCGATGTCTCGGTGGACTGCAAACGATACGTAGTCATAGCAGCTGCTGCTATAGGGCGGCCGCCAGACCAACCCCAGCAGCCCTAGCAGGGTCCGTTTGGCACCTCGGGGCAGGGGCAGGCCCAGTGTTACCCGCTGGCAATGGACTGGTAGCCTTCCGAATTGGGCTGCTGTGAAGATGCAGGGATGGCCAACTGCCCGGTCTTTTCTGCTCTGTCGCATTGAGAACTGAACTGGTGATCGATCAGAAACCGCCATCGGACATGCCATCCTGAAAGTACCAGGATTACAAGAGATAAATACACTAGAGTATGATCATGGGGGCTGGGTGGCTTGATCCTTAGGCCAACCACAGCCACCAGGCGGGTTGATAGCCAAGACTGGGGAATCTAGTAAGTTAGTGTTGATGACTACTACTCAAGTAAGGCAAGCCGAGTAGGTTATACTCGTAGTTAGGTTTGATGATTGACTGTGATGGCCGAATCTCCTAATCCTGACAGTTATTTTGGGTATGAGTAGTCTATGGCCGCGTTCCCACTGGAATCCAATTTGTCTCTGACAGAATGGACGGACCACGCGGCCTCCAAGGCAGACCCGGTAGTTGGGACGAGGATCTTATAGGGTGCTTGGCACCCACCGATGATGTCGGCCCCCCCCGTTGGATGTCATCCCTCGCCCTGGTATCACGATTCGGAACTAGCCTTTCTATCGTGCCCCTTCTATTGGTCCCCAGTGATTGCAGCAGCGGGGAGCAACGGCATCGGGCTCAGTGCTCTTACCTCGCCAAAGCAGGGAAATTGTCAGTTAGAGGGGGGAAAAGGAGCAGTACGGTAGTCGTTTCGTAGCGCGACCTCGTCCGTTGGTTCTCCGGGACCAGGTTACACTGATTGGCAATCGAGCGGTTCCATCCATCAGTGACCATCGCCAACAGCGACTTTTTCAGGCTTTGCGCCTCGGCAGCGAGTCCGGTAGGTAGGGCACCACATCCGCCGATCCACCGGACGGCTTTTTACTTTGATGTCCCTGAGGTAGTGACTATCATACTCAGTATCATCGCAAATCACCACCCAGTCTATCTATTTCCGATGTCGACAAAACGGTGATCCATCGGTCGATGAGGGGTGGCAATTTTCAGGCAGAAATGACTTTCTTTTTGGATCGCCCTAAGTGCAGGCAGGACCATAGATACTCATACCTGCGTGCGGCCAGAGTTCGGTGTGGGGGGTGGCGGGGGAGGGGGAGATACGCGGAGAGTTTGGAGCGAGAGGTAAGGTGGAAAGAGCAGCAGCATTTTGAATCGAGTGGAGGTGTACAATGAGCATTGAAAGATAATTGTTTTTAAAGAAGAGAAGGGGTGGTAAGAGGTGATGATGGATGATGGATGATGATGATGATGGTGGTGGTGGTGGTAGTAGTAGTGATGGTGGTGTCAGTGACAATGATGAAAGGGACTTGAAGCAAGGCATTTCACTCAATCTAGGCTAGTAGCAGTCGATTAAAGTGAAATGTGCCTGAGGGGCACGTGTAATTGGCGGTCGGACGGGACGAGGGAAGCCTGAGGCGCTTTTCATCACAAGATGAACAAACAGGGAGGGAATCCAGTTTTGCGTCGATTTACAGTGTTGTGAACATGTATGTACATATGTATGTCTTCCATTATTAGTCGTGATTTTAATATTATGGTTTTTCTTTTGTCTTTTTTTACGTATAATTAATTAGGGTACGTTATGGCTGATCATCAAGTATCAATGCCTATTCATTGATAACTAACAACTAACTTAACTATCGCTACCATACCATAACTAATAACTAATCCATCCATATTAAGATTCAGCTTCCGTCCTGACCTAACCTCGTCGTTTGCTTCTTGCTGAATTAGTTGTTGTTGCTTGATTGCTTGATTGCTTGATTGCTTTTCTGGTTATTTCATTTTGACTTCGTGGGCGGCTGCCTGCTTTGCTTTAAATAATTGCGTGGTTTATTATTATAATTATTGTTGCTATCATATCCGATACCTCCAGTTCCACTACGACAGCGGCGGCGGCGGCGGGCGGACGAGGGGCTAAGGTATTATATTAATGGTTCATTAGCTCATGACCAGTTCCAGTTCTTGCTCCTCTTGCCTGCTCTGGTTCCCCATCTCCGTTCGTCTCCATCCACCATCCACCATCTTCCCTTTCTTTCTAATTCCCTCTTCACTCTTCCTCTTCCTCTTCCTCACCTCTTTCGCTTTCACCCTTCAGACTCGGAATCTCGATCACTTTCGCTCCCCTCCTCTCCCCCCCCCTCTTTCCTCTCCACCGTCTGTGCCTTGTCCTTGATTCTCGACTCCAGCGCCCCTCAGTTCACCCCACCACCAGCCAACAAACGTGCTCAACTTCCTCCCTTTCTTTCCAACTTCACCTCTTCCTCTAGTCTCGGTCTCTCTTGGCCCCTTCCCTTTTCTGCACTTTACAATTTCTCTTCTTAAGATTGGGACTTTCTTCTTCCCCCACTACGAGTCGTCTCTATCCGGGGCTCTGCCTGCCGTCTGCTCTTACCGGATTGATACAGACGATTCTCCCTCGGGAATGGCCTGAGGTGTGCCCCGCGTCGACGAAATCCTGCCTTGTTTTCTTGCATTCAGATCCGCTTCGGTAGCTCGCTTCTGCACACCCGCTGCAAGAAAAAAAATACACTACACTTTTGAAAACGATCGAGACCAATCCAAGTCGCAATTGACTTCGACACCTTATTTCCCAGTCGTTCCGACTTTGCCTCCCCCGCCCTCCCGTTCAATCCAAGATACCCCGACTCTCCCGAGTCCGCGATCTCACGGTGTTGGCTACCGGCCTTCAGCTAGCCAATTGCGCGCCTCTGGATCTCACAGCACGCATTCCTCGTACACCGATCATCTCTCATGGACACTGAACGAGAGCCCCTAGCTGAGATCTCGACTGCAAAGCCCGCCATGTCAGACATTGATAATAGGTCCGACACTACGGACGACGATCTCTCTCCGTCTCTGGCCACTACGCAGTCATACGCTTCCGTACCATCCTTGCGACCTACTATGGATAAGCCTACAATCAATCCCTCCTCGACGCACCTGGGTCAGATCAATGCAGCTCGACGAGGAGTCGGCACCGTCCCTCGTCCCCAAGCTTCGATGAGTGGCGCACAGCCGGGAGGATTGAATCAGGACATTCTGGCCAAAATGAAGGCATTCTCCTTATCTCGACAAGGAGCGCCGCCGAGTCTGACACATGCTAATACAACTAACTTCGTGCCTAAAGTCTCTTCACCACCCACCTCTAGCGCTAGCCCCGTTTCATCTCCGCCTTCCGCCGCGAACGGATCCCTTGGTGGTGCTTTCGCGGGCCGCTTGCCTCCTGGGGCGGTCCGGCCGGCCACCAAGAATTGGGTTTCATCTCCCTCTGTCCCTCATGGTTCGCCTACAAACTCGCCGAAACCCGGTGGCCTGGCAGCAAAACGAATGAAGCCCGGCCTCAAGCTCTCTGATGCAACTGGCTCGAAGAGCCCTGCCCCAGACGGACAGTCCAACGGTGAATCTGGAAAGCAGGAGACAGCGTTCAGCAGGTACTCTGAGTTCATCGACACGAAAGCGGGAACGCTCAATTTCAAGAACAAAGCAATCCTTCACGGCGGTGGAATCGAATTTTCCTCGGGCCAAAGTTTCAGCATATCATTAGACGAGGTCGACCGCTTGGATGAACTGGGCAAGGGTAACTATGGTACTGTTTATAAGGTTCGACATAGTCGGCCGCACATGCGCAAGCCCGGCATGGGGTTGCGAGGAATTGTCAGTCGCCCAACGGAGCAAAACGGGGCAGCGAATTCGCAGGATTCGCTCTCTGGGGTTGTCATGGCGATGAAAGAAATCCGTCTAGAGCTAGACGAAAGCAAATTCGCGCAAATCATTATGGAGTTGGACATTCTGCATCGGTGTGTCTCGCCGTTCATCATTGACTTCTACGGCGCCTTTTTCCAGGAAGGAGCAGTATATATCTGCGTTGAGTACATGGATGGTGGCTCAATCGACAAGATCTATAAGGAGGGTATCCCGGAGAATATCCTTCGGAAGGTCGCATTGTCCACAGTCATGGGTTTGAGAACGCTCAAGGAAGACCACAACATCATTCATCGCGATGTCAAGCCCACGAATATCCTGATCAATTCGCGTGGACAGATCAAGATTTGTGACTTCGGCGTGAGCGGTAACCTTGTCGCCAGTATTGCCAAGACGAATATTGGATGCCAGAGTTATATGGCGCCCGAGCGTATCGCTGGTGGTGGCGTCCAACAGTCTGGTTCTAGTGGGGGTGGAACTTACAGTGTTCAGAGCGATGTGTGGAGCTTGGGTCTATCCATCATTGAATGTGCCATCGGCCGCTACCCTTACCCGCCAGAGACCTTCAACAACATCTTCAGTCAACTACACGTGAGTACTCGTAACATCCTACCTAGTGTTCTTCGGGGTTCTTGCGGTTCTAACATGTGATCTTCAGGCGATTGTCCATGGAGATGCTCCCACCCTTCCCGAAACCGGATACTCGGAAGAAGCGCACGCCTTTGTCCGCGCCTGCTTGGATAAGAATCCGAATAACCGCCCCTCTTATAACATGCTTCTTCGACACCCCTGGCTATCCTCGCTCATGCAACCCCCGGGCGAATCGGACGGAGCGAATGAAGAGGTCACGCCGATAGTCAATGGTTCTGGATCCGGGGGTTCGCCTTCGACTGAGGACCCAGAAGTGGCAGAATGGGTGAAGGAAAGGCTAGAGCGTCGTGAAAAGGGGCTTCTCCTTGAAGCAGATAAGCCGGCACTTCACGCAGTGGCTCTCGATGCAGTTCCGGGAAGCCCCTTGTTGGATGATCCGTCCGCGATGTACAATCAGCGTTGATGGGTTGCCGTTTTTCTCCTGTCACCGATCAACTGATACCATCGCTTCTTGGCTGCTCAATCACCTTCGTCAATCTAGACCTGTCACTTGATGGGTCGACACGAACGGGTGACACTGCTGGCGCTGGCGCCGTTCAGCCGGGGCTGTTACCTCCATCAGAGCATACACTTCCCTTCCTTTTCACCCTTGGGCCATTGGTGTACTCGAAGGCTCTGGCCCTGTCATCTATTCTCGTGGAAGAGCGGGATATGTGTTACTTCGGATGCTGTTTTATGCTGGCTTTTAGGCATTGATGTATAACGAATGTACAGACGTAATATGTTAGCTAGATTCTCCACGATGTACAAGCACAAGCACGGCCGTGTCGAGATAAATGAAATACTATTCGTGGCTTGCTACAGGAGTTGTTTCTCTCCGCTTTGAATGCTTCCGCGAGGCTGTGGTCTCGCTGCTCGCTCAAAGTAGCTAGGTACTGACCCATGCCGTGGGACGGTAACAAATGAGAATAAGTTGGCGACTCGCACGACTCTGTTGAGGTGGTTTTGCGTCAGCGTTCCTGTGTAATCCAGCCCACATGATCCAGAGTCTTCATCTCTTGTTTACACGCGGAGAACCTCGCTAGTTACAACAACCAAAGAACCTCCAGGGATTCAAGAATCTTTACATAGCCCAAAACTGAGATTTTACATCGCTTACATTTTTCTTTTGGTTTATTATAATATTCTAAAAGGCTTCCCAACAGCCAAGGTTGTGTAGTGTAATGGTTAGCACCCAGGATTCTGATTCCTGTAATCCCGGTTCGATCCCGGGCACGACCTTTTTGACCTCTTCCCTCTGCAATATCAAAAGATGAGTGTTGGGTCTTCTTTTTTTCTCCCTTTCTTTCTACTTCCCTCTTTTTTTTCTCTCGAAGAAAAATCCTCTTGTGTCCTGGAAGTGAGCCATTTTTAAGGTTCGAGATGGTGCGAGTCCATCCGTGGACTGCCCGTTGGGTCCTGGTGTCATCATGAATCACACCAGAGGATCAGACAACATAGACATATTTCAGAAGCAGCGCAAACAAGCAGGGCCACAACACCGGCGGGGATATCATCCTTGATTCAGCCTGCTCTATAAGCGTAGATCCCCATCAATCGACACAACCATATCTATACATACCTATATCAATCAACTCATCCGCTCCTCTACTCGGCATAGATCAAACAACCCCCTCCCCTTCTCTCTCCTCGAAATCTAGCTCTAAAAGCCCAAATATATACACCTCCTAAACCCCCGCCACCCTCAACCCCATCACTCCCCTCCCCTGCCCCTCGCCCCCGAGAACCTTCTCCACAAACTCCCCCAACCCATCAATCACCACCTCCGGCCCCGCCGCCTCGCACTCCGCCTGATCCCCCTGCCCAAACCGACACCAACAGACCGGACACCCCAGATTCCTCGCGAACCGGATATCGGTAATCGTATCGCCCACCATCAGCACCCGCCGCATATCGACCCCGCCGTCCCTCTCCAACCACTCCGCCGTCTGGCCCGAGGCCGAGAAATACTCGCGCAGCCGCGGCACCAGCCCCTCCCCGAACCCGGCGGGGTCCGGCTTCCGCTTGCCCCCGGGGAACACCCCGTCGCCGAGGACCAGCGCCTCCGGGATGAACTCCAGGAAGCCGTGGCGGTGCAGCGCGGCCGTGAGGGCGCCCACGGCTTTGTTGCTGATGATGGCCACGGGGAGGCGGTGGGTCTGCGTGAGGGCGCGCACGAGCGCGTAGGCGTCCCGGTAGGGTCGCGTGAGCGGCTGGCCGTGTTGGCGGTAGAGGGCGCGGTAGGTGGCGATCCAGGTGGGTTCGTCGAAGGTGTCCAGGGTGGTTGGGTCCTGGAGAGCGCGGAAGGTGACTTCGGGGCTGTGGCCTTGGGCGATGAGGGCGGTGAGCTGCGTGGTGGGGAGCGGGTGGTCGGGCAGGAAGTGGTGGAAGGTGCGTTGCATCGAGGTGTAGATGGCCTCGTGGGAGTCGAAGATCGTGCCGTCGAAGTCGAGGATTATGAGGTCGTATTTTGAGGGCATTTTGGTGGGGGGAGGGGGGGATGTGTTGTGAGTTGGATAGTTGAGGTCGATATGTTTGTGCTATGAACCTTTTTTGGGATTGTTTTTTTCTGGGGAAAGGGAATAAGTGTCTAATGTGATACAGGTGAGTTTGAAAACGTATGAAAGAGTATGAGTCAAAGGTTAATTTACTTTTTCTTTTTTAGAGTTCTGCTTGTTACAGCCGTTATCCGCATATCTCGGGAAGATCTCCGGATTCGATGAGTAACCCCCCCGCACAATCACGATGCAACTTCGATTCGATTGGCAGGACATGTTCTAGTGCCGGGCCGGGTGTCTGGCAATTGGGCAAAAAAAGATCGATCCAATTGGTTTTGGAGGATGTTCGGTCCCAGGCTGGGGATTCAATGTGCAAAAAGGTCGTGCCCGGGATCGAACCGGGATTACAGGAATCAGAATCCTGGGTGCTAACCATTACACTACACAACCAATTGTTGAAAAATGGCACAATGTTTGTATCTATAACCTGGTGCAAGGCTTGAAGCTCTGTAATGCAAATTAGCTTCGACGCTCTACCAGGAGTAAATGGCAAAATATTCGAGACAAGCTATGTGTGCCCGGTTGAGCATTAATAGGCCCGGAGAAAAACACCTACAGGTGCCAGCTTTCAGTTGTGTCAGTCATCCCCCTCAGTGGCTTCTCCATATCGCTCAATCGAAGAATTGCCAGCGCGCGATAGATACTCTCCACTCCAAATCGTGTTAGATTTCTGGGAGGATAACTGGGGGCTTGACATTCAGCTGTGCTATCTGTGGATGATGAGGCCAACGCTTGAGAGCTAGGGCTCGGGCTGCGACCTGTTGGTCGCTCGATGACATGACATGCTTCCTTGTATACTGGGTAGGCGAGGACCGCGGTATCAATGTGGTAGGCTGACTATCTTGTTCTAGCGATATATTATTCTGTGGGTTCCTTGCTTCGCAAGTATGGGTGATGTTGGTTCGAGGGACGTGTCTGAAATGGCTCGGTGTTGATCTTGCCGGGCTGGTTCACTCGACGGCTCGCGGGTATGGTTGAATGGTGGAAGTCATGGGGCATACTGCTGGGCTCCCTGGTATATGTAACCTGCCTACTGACGTACGTGTTGGGCTTCCCAGGAGGCCCCCCGTGTGCCATGGGGCGATACGCGCATGGTATCGGGTCTCGAACAGTGATGCGGATTTGGTGTCTGTGTGACTTGGTTGTGCATGTTGCCTTCTACTCCCGGTAGAAAGTAGACTGATCACTGATCGACGGTGCTGACTACGGCTGCATGAGATGGGCGACGACTGGTATGATGATCTCTCTCAGGCGATGAGCAATGGATTATTGCATGCCGAATGGTGCATTCGGAGTGGCGTGGATGACTTTGGGTGTTGTACCACTTAGGTCGAGGGTTCTATCGTGGGTGTTTGTGACCCATAGCTTTATTCGTGCTGCTTGTACTGTACCTGTTAATGCTTGCGAGGGCTGTGTGTCTCGCGTCGACCGTGTGTTGGTCACGGTTCCTTGGGTTTTCCGCCTGGTGGCTTGTGCAGCAAGCTGCTCTATACTCGAGGGAATTCGCATGGGCTAGTGTTTCTGGTTCATGTCCCCTGATACCTACAGCAGCCGTGCAGCTCTAGGTTACAGGCTGATGACTCCCAACCCGCCAACTTCTCGTTATGTTCCATGGTCAAATTAGCGTCAGGGATACGTTACGCCGGCCATGCCGTTCCGGTCTGAAACACGTTTCCTGCACTCGGTGACACTGGGTCTAGCCAGGTGGTAGGTTCCCGTCCGGATTCCATCCGGGTGGCAGCCATGGATGTACTGTGCAGCAGGGTAGTATCATGTTCACCGATGACATCGCTGCCGAGTATCACCGCTGGATATGTATCCCTATTCGGCCTGCGACAGCAAAACCGGCAAGCGATGAGGAATGCTGCATTCCCGCCAAGATAGGAAGAATGCTGACATCCGTCAGTCATCGGGTATGAAGTGTAAAATGAGGTCATAGATTCGTTGTTCAGAAGTCATCTCGTGGCTTTTGTGTACTTTGAGCTCACTCATCAAGATCATATAACCATGATTGCAAGCCACAACAACTACTAGGTTGTGTAGTGTAATGGTTAGCACCCAGGATTCTGATTCCTGTAATCCCGGTTCGATCCCGGGCACGACCTTTTTGCATGTCGAATTCTTTTTTTTCCATTTGCAGTTTCTGGGTCGGCTTGCGTAACACTGCACCCACGCTGTTCCAGCCGAAACCCATGACAATAGCATTATCTCAAACCGTCTTCCTGTACCACCACCCCCAGGATGGATACCTTATGCCGACTGCGACATCACCACAATGCAATGTTTGCCCCGTGGTATCACCATACTAGCATCAACAACACCACCCTTGCGCACCAACTGCATCCCATGATCCCGACTGCCATCAAAATGGAAACGTCAACTAGAGAGCACAAACATAGTCGCATATCGCCGTCAGCGCAGCCCGCAGCCCGCGGCTTCCGGTCCCGGTAGAAGTTAGTAACTTATACACGCATCCAGGGCTAAGTATAGCCCGCGTGGCAAGGAGTCCGGCACACAGCCACTTAACTCAGACAACACCTCCCAAAAGTCTCGGACTTGTAATCTGTGTTCGCTGCAAATAGACAATCTAAAATCATAGTGGCATAGTCCAGCAATCTATGTATACGAAGTCAACAAACCACCTCGACTATCCCGAGCGGCCGATACCTTATCCCGGCTATTTTTGGACGGTGTCTTATCCATGGTGGAGACAGAAAGAAAAAAGGCGACTAAGGCAGCAGCGGCAAGCCGAGGCGGGTTAGTCTGGTCTGTCTGCAGGTGGGTGTACTGTACACTATACGGAGTAGACAAACCGCGGGTTCGTGGACGCTTGCTTGCTATGTATCAGTTAACCACTACGTACGTGCGGGATTGTTTTACTCGTAGCTTAGTTCCGAGGGAGCCATCAATAAAAGACCGCATTACCGGTGTCCACGACCGGACTACAGGGTTGGTCATGGGACTTAATCAACGGGCGTTGTTGGGTACCAAGAACTTGATGGTTCTACAACGTTCTCTAGTTACCGGTTCCTTGGCTAGTGTACCCGACATGGCCTCGGGCGGTTGAGTCTCGGTTGGGTAATAGCTTATTTTTTTTTGTTGCGTCCCAAGGTTGCCCGGGGGGGGGGGGCTCAACATGTTCATTTCTTGGGTGTGAAACTGTAACCAGGAGATAATGTTGATGTCATTGAATTGCTGGGCAACGTTGAATATTTCAATCATATATAAGCCAAGACATGACTGATGTGAGACATATGAAATGTTGGGGATAGAGTCGCATGGTGAGCGAGTCGGGTATCAATAGACAAAGAATGAAAAAGAAAACAATCAAGCAATAGTGGCGTCGACAGTAGACGTATATCGAGACGTCACTTTGCAGTAGTAAGTGTGTAGTTGTAACTTGCGAGCTGGCTGGAATGCGGGGTATCGCGTGATCACCGCAGCCGTGTGCATCGCTAGGTTGAAACTGGACCAGGAAGGCTTGCTCGCATAGACGGAACCTGCCGTCCCCCTACTAAGCCCCGGAGCTGCCGGATTCCCCAGATGATGAGAGGCTTAGACGGCATTATTTATCGTGGTCATATGGATGCTCTGTTGAACTCCATTCCCAAGGCCGATACCCAGCTGTTGAATGCTGGCGGCGGTGATTTAGAACAAAGCGTGAAAAAAGTTCGAAAGGTAGCCGGGGTGCCACTGTGCTGGGTCCCCATGTATCTTTGCAATGTAGGCAGATTTGGTGCGATGGGGGTTTGCGTAGATGGATGGTTATCGTGTTGACAGGTCTAGACTTTCCGTGTTGCATTAGGCTTGAAAGGAGGTGACGTGCTATTGTTGATAATTATATTGCAGGGATGTCGAGCTTCCCCAGCCTCCAGACTAATTGATGTAGACCATCACAGCAAAGGAGACCAGGCAGAAGCAGAGAGGGATATAGACTTTCCGGTCCATATCGCGGTCGAGTGGGGAAGACGGAGAGCCAGCGGAGCGAGGACGAGTAGTCGACTTAGTGTGCTTGTGGACCATGTTCAGATAAGACGGCGCTTCTTGCCTCTTCTTGTTCTTGTTGCTGGTGTTGTGATTGATGTTGTGAGGCTGGGGATAAGTTGGGTTTGTCAGGAAGGGATGAAAGAGGAGAAGGATGAGGACTACAAGGACAATGGTGAAAACAGGAGGAAAGAAGAGGGGGAAAGGAGGGGAAACGAGGATCGGGTGATCAGCAGCCAACGTGGCGCCCGATCACCCAACAAGATCGCAGCATCCCGCACCGTGGCCGCTTTCAGTGCCTTTCTTCCCCAACCTTTGAATCTTCAACCCGCTGACTGATTGTTGTCATGTGAAAGAGAGGTCGTTGAGCCGCCTGCCACCTGTTTTCTGAGGCACCAACGGCAGCCGCTCAGCCACCCAGCCACCTAAAGGGCCCGAGTTCGATTCTGCGCGGGGTCAGTTCTTATTTCTCAGGTCTTCTTTCTTTTTCCCACCTCTCGTGTTGTTTGTCTGCCAACTCTGCAGGATTCACGTGGAGGGGCCGGAAATCCAACGCGGACAGCGGGACCAAAGTGACAGTTGCAGGTCCAGGGGAAGGTGCTCGTAGATTACACCAACCCCCTGTTTGTCTCAGGTTGAGGCTGATGACAGCCAGTCAGGATGATGGTTTAATGACCTCGTACTTTGTGCACGCTACATTAATCTCCCGCAACGCGCCAACGGGTTAATCAACTGGACTGCTTGCTCGGGGCGTCTATCCGAATGCAGCGCAGAACAGTAGTACGTATAGTAACGCTCATCTAAGACATGGTCATGGCGGACCAACTGATATGAGATAGTCCCTCTAAGTGGATTACCCCCCCGTTCGTTGTTCAGGGTTGGGAAAAAAAAAGGCGTCCCTTTTTTCACCCTTGATTTCGCACGCGTCAATACGACATCAGTTTGCCCTCTTCTCGTGCCTGTCAAGAAGAAAACAAAAATAATCTCCGGGTGAGACATGGATTGTCTTCTGACCTGCAAAATGGTCATTCAGCCGAGGTGCGCGTCGCTTAGGGCCGAGTCAGTTCGCCCACCAGCCCTTTTTAGACATCACCGCATCTTTTGCGCATTATTTGGTGACCCATCGTTGCAAACTTTGTCCTCTGATGTGACCACCAGTCGCATTGGATTGCCTGACATTTGTATTGCGGTTCTAATGAAGAGCCATGAGTCCAAGGGCGGCGATCCATGGCTCTCATCCGTCCCCATGGATTGGTCTCGATCGCATCCCAGCGAGCAGTGCTGCGACAGTTCTCTGACACGATCCGCAGAAGAGGGCACCAACAGTTGGTCAGATTGTAGTGTACTCTAGTAGCGAGTCCTAATCTCCGTGGGGGTTTGCAGTAGAGCCATCGATAGGAGCGACCGTGGCGAAAAGGGAGTGTGGTTCAGGACTTGGCCCCTTCGGCTCCGGCTCACTAAAAGTCATAGCGAGTATCGTTGCCTAACTAATCAATCCAAACAGTCCACTTTAGTTATCCCATTGACTAATAGGGTAAATTGAATCGGAGAATAGGGCGAATGACACCGCGACTTGAACCTTTAGAACCTCTCCCATGGAAGGAGGGGAGGAACAAACAAGGAGAGACCATATCATCTCGAAGGGGTCGGTAGAGGGAGAGAGAGAGAAAGAGAGACCTTTCGAAGGACTCGTACTCTGGAACTACTAGTTAGGTACCTAGCAGGTAATTACAATACTTTGTAGGCTAAGGTGACACATACCACTGGCACAAGCTTTGAGAGAATCTGGTTGGACCTTCGTATACGCGCAAGCGCAAACTGTTCGCAGCCCTGAGCTTTCCCCGGGCCCTTCCAAAAGGGCAAGTGGATAAAGCCCCAATCTGACTGACCCTCTGGCCCTTGGGCAAGTTAACGAACTGACGCCAGTCAAAAACCCTTCCACTGCCTTGTGCTGGGGCCGTCTTCAGTGTCTGACTCCACTTTTGCACTTGCGATCACTTGAATTGATTATTATTGTCTTGTCTTGTCTTGTCTTTCCCTTCTGCCTCCTGCAATCAAGATTGTCTGACCACCCACCCGCCATCCGGATCCGTGACTGACTGACGCAGTTGCCTCTCAGTCTCTCAGTCTCTCACTTGCTCACTTGACGGTGCCTGCCCAGACTTGCTCGCATCCTTCCTTCAGCCCTTAACCCTTAACCTGTAACTTAACCCTTAACGGATTCTACTCCTCCAGGAGACGAACCAGGGGAAACACCACCCTGTGCAGTGCCTTTTTACTTACCCCCAATTATCATCCTTGGTTCCGTTGGTTCACCAGGGCATTCCCTTCATATTCTCGGACATAAGCGTAATTCTTGAGTCAAACAGGTATTAATATCTTTCCCCCTTCGCCTCTATGACGGTATGTGTACCGAGTACCCAAAAAACAAAAAAAGAAAGAAACCCACTTGCTGTTAGTAGCATCCATCATTCACTACTAACTACTACATACTAAGTAGTAACAACGGAAGTTTAATCTTTTCCCACTCACCTTTCCTTCTTTGGGGTTCCTGCCACCGACTGGGTCCTCCTCCTGTCACTCGCTGCTCATAAATCATAATTACCGCCGCCCAATTCCTCTCTCGCTCCAGCAAAGTAATCTTGACGTTTCTTACTTACTTCACTACTACTTAACTGTCTGGATCTCTCCCACTGCCCAACTTCCTTCTTGCCCACGGGTTTCTTCCACATCTCTCTCGTTTTCATACTTAGCAAGCAACAACGTCCTTGCGCCTGCTGGTTGCCATTCCACCTTCGCTTTCCCTTTACCCCCCCACAACACACACATTCGTTGACCTTGATCTTACCGATCACAACAACCATCATCATGTATTTCACATACGCCGCCGCCGCTGCGCTCTCTGCAGTGCTTCCTCTCGCCGCTGCGCAGACCTACACCGACTGCAACCCCCTCGACAGTAAGTTGCCTTGTCTCCGCGGCTCTCATCTACCCATCTAACTTGTGCAACAGAGACTTGCCCTGCTGATACAGCCCTGAGCTCCTCCACTTTCTCTTCCGACTTCACTCAGGGCGAATCTTCCTTCGCTGGATGGACTGCCACTGCTAACAACGTCACCTTCGATGAGAATGGTGCTGCGTTCACTATCAACCAGAGAGGCCAAGCTCCCACCATCCAGACCAACTTCTACTTCTTCTTCGGCAGAGCTGAGGTTGTCATGAAGGCTGCCAGCGGTACTGGTATTGTCAGCAGTATTGTCTTGGAGTCGGACGACCTGGACGAGGTTGACTGGGTGAGCTTCCCTCTTCAATCCTGTGCTTACATACACTATGATACCCTTTTATCGACTCCCCTCATCTTTCCTACGCCTGCCTACTCGCATTGGCATAACCTCATGCTGCATGAATTGCTAAACTAACAGCACTGGTGCTTGTAGGAAGCTCTGGGCGGTGACAATACCCAGATTGAGACCAACTACTTCGGCAAGGGTGACACTACCACCTATGACCGCGCTACCTGGGTTGGAATCTCTTCTCCCCAGGAGAACTGGCACACTTACACCGTCGACTGGACCGAGACTGCTCTGAACTGGTACGTTGATGGTAACCTGGTTCGCACTCTGGCATACAACGACGCCTCCAGCGGCACTCGCTTCCCCCAGACCCCCATGAACCTGAGAATCGGTATCTGGGCCGGTGGTGACTCCGACAACGCCCCTGGAACCATCGAATGGGCTGGTGGTGAGACCGACTACAGCCAGGCTCCCTTCACCATGTACGTCAAGTCTGTTTCGATCACCAACAACAACCCGGGCTGCAGCTACACCTACGGCGACAAGACCGGTAGCTACAGCAGCATTGTTGTGAACAAGGACGGTTGCGACGTCACCGGTGGCGCTTCCTCCTCTGCTCCTGCCTCTTCCTCCACCACCTCCGCCGCTGCCTCTTCTGCCTCCTCCGCTGGTTCCTCTGCCTCCTCTACCTCGGGCGCCGGTTCTTCCACTGGTTCTTCCACCGGTGCTTCCGTCAGTGCTAGCGCTACCGGTGGTGTCATTGGTAACAGCGCCGGAGTTGGTGCTCTCGTCTCGGCTGCTGCTGCTTCCACCCCCGCTGCCGCTGCTTCCTCCGGTGTGGTTGGTGGTGGTGCTGGCGGTGCTGGTGGTGCTGCCGCCTCCTCTTCCGCTGCCGCCGCTTCTTCTTCCGCTGCGGCCGCCGCCTCCGCCTCCGCCAGCGGTCTCTTCACCGGTGCCGCCTCCACCGTCACCACTTCCGTGGGCGCCATGCTTCTCGGTGTCTTCTCCGCTATGCTGTGCTTGTAAAATCATTTCCTCGCTGGAATTGATTTTGCGTGTCATCCTTGAACACAGTCATACGTCATCAGCCCCCCCAACCCTTTATCTTTTTGCTTAATCATCTTCGCTGCATAACTTTACACCACTTTTTATCTGGATCTGTACTTGTACGGTTTGTACATAACTTGAGTTGGGTTGCTTGGAGAAACAACACCGAAAGCAGGAGAGGAAGGACATGGATACACGGAACTGTTTGCTTTCTTTGATTTTGGTTCTATACATTGTTTCTTTTGACAATTGGGAACTGGAAGCTAGATTACACAGCTGGGACATTCTTGTGTCTGACTTTGTCTTGGACGGAGGGCAAGAGCTCGTTATCTTCTCGGTCTTGACCCCCAACTACTTTCTTCACACATCTCCAAGTGACTCTCTCGCTTTTTGCTTGGGCAAACATGCTTCGTTCTACCGGGCGCTTTCATTTGCTCATCTGATTACCCTGTCTGTCTTGCTTATTGGCGTGTGTGCTTTTCCAGCGAGAAAGGTAGCCTTTTGCTAGTAATAGTAATACTATTCTCTTATCGAGATCGAGGGATTACCGCAATAGGGTTGGTTCTACGAGTACGATCTAGATAGTGGAGCATACATGGGTACGTACATGTACATGGGTATTCGTAAATTGGATCAATTGATTGATGGACCTGGAAAATGTGGGGGTTCCTAATTCTCTTGGCCTTATGCATGCATATGGATATGGATCATCGCTGGGCATCAAATGTGTGTAGTTCTGAAACAAAGTGATGTCAAGGTATGGCGATTACTGTATGAGTTTACGACATCGCGTGCGTTTGTGGAATTTCCCCGTGTAGATGATGCATCGTAATCATCATTGCGTGTGTTGCGATTAGCGAAAGACGTATCAGGTATTACTTTGTTGGGCGAATTTTTCTTCTCGGTTTTCCTCATGTCGATCGTGATATCAAAAATGCAGGCCAGGTTCATGAGGACCGTGGTATGACGTACACATGTCTTACTTGACTGCGGTTGCCGTTGGCGAGAAACAAAAAAAAAGGCTGATTCACATACACACGCGCCATCATTAACCCACATCAAGAGTGAAACATCCCCCCTTTCTTGTTTTGGAGGCGTTGTAACCCGTCCGATAGCTTCTTGATCACGTCCATGACCGGTTGATGGCGGGTCGCTGCCTCTTGGAAGAGGGTGGGGAGCTGCGGGTAGTTGTGATGCTGGTGGGGGTGGGAGCTTGATGCGGGCGGTTGGGGGGAGTGATGATCTTCGCCATCGTGGTGGTGGTCATTGCTATCATTATCCTCATTATCCTTGTTGTTTGTGTGGGGTTGCGACCGCGCACTACCACCCCCGAACAATGTGCCGACCATGCCTTTGAGCCCCGAAGACGAGGACGACCCTGGACCCTGGAGATGGTGATCATCATTTCCCCTTCGGGCCAGTCGATTGGTCTCCCGCTTGACGACACCGGCAATGGACTCCAAGTGATCGTCTAGGGTGGCGAAGTCCCCCAGCAACGAGTCGGCCTTAGTTTGCATGCGCGACGTCAGTTGATCGACGTATTGTTCCCGGCGCGTGAGTTGCGTGGTGGAGAGACGCGCGTCCGGTGAGGTGTTGGCGGTCGTCGCCGCCGCCGGCGCCGCCGAGCCGCGACCGCTACCGCTACCGCTGCCCCGCGCGGCGATCAGGCTGTCCACTGCCGATCGGAGGTCGGCGTGCAATGAGTCGAACCGCCGGGTGGCCGTGCGGGTGGCTTCGAGGCAGCCGGAGAATTCTAGGTCCAGCTCGTGCTTGCTTCCCGGGTACTGTTTCTTGAGGAGTTGGTGGATGTCGCGTAGTTTGGATTCGGTGTGTTTGAGGGTCGTGCTGTGCGGGGCCATGGTTCGGAGGGTGTTGTTGAGGAGGGTCTCGAGCGGGGTCTGGGTTGATATCGAGGCTGGCCTGTTGTTGTTGATGTGGTTTGGCTTGAGGTAAAGAGGGATACAGCTGGTTGGGTAGAGGGTTGCCAGGGCCGGGAGAGAGCAGAGGGATTGGTGTTGTTGGATGATTTCGGGGAGGATGAGCAGGTGGCTGATGCCCGCGATGAGGAGCACGTTCAGCAATATGCGTAGAATGAACCCGCGGCTGGGGAGGGTGAAGGAAGGGCGACGATTGATGGTTTGATGCTGTGCGACTGTGGGCGGCGCGCTTTCCGTCACTTTGGCTGAAGAACGCTGCGTCGAGTTTCTGGTCGGTGATGGGGACGAGGCTTGGTGTCTGCGTCGGAGAGCGCGTTGAGGAGATGCAGTCGGTGCGATCCAGGACCCCTCGCAGATGGGAGTTTCGTATATTGACGGCATGATAAGATCTGGTCCCGATATGGATTCGCACGAGGTGGATATCGATTCCGCCAGATTCTCATGGTGGCTCTTGGTCGGGCGCGGTGTTGTATCGGAGGCCTCAGTCTGATGGTTGTTGTTTGTCTTTTTGTTGTTGCTGGCTGAAGGCCCCTCCGCAAGCTGTGCCGACGCGATAACCCATGACTCTCCTAAGATGGAGCTATCCTGAGGTCGTGAGTGTTTGGACATGGTTATGGATCTGAGCAGCAGGGCCTAGAACGTGGCAGATCTGCAGCCTCCCATGGGCCAGAGGGTTGTGATAACTCAAATAGTGCAGGAGGCGTAAGGAGGCACGCGATAGTTAAGTGTTACTTTGTTGACTCAACCCCAGCAACAACAACGGTCTTCAAGTCAGTGGTTGAAATCTCGTATCGTCTAGGCGCTAGCGCATATCAGAAGAAATGCAGTGAATAACAAGGGTTATCTCAGGCCTTTGGTCTCGCAGCTTTCCGCAGTAGTCGTAGGATGATTGAAGTTTTAACCTGCGATGTACGATAGCCACAGAGAGATTTTCAGAAGCATGACACTTGTTTCATCATCGTAATCATCAACAACATTCAAAATCATGAGGGTCTAGGCAATAGAAAGATATAGATCTGGGATCATCTTCAGGACGCGGTGGATGGTGGGGGGGAAGACAATCCGTCACGGGAACGCGATGCCAAATCGGGCCGATCGCGTCGAGTCACGGGCGGCCGAGGAAAATCCTCCAGCTTCATCTGCTCAACGTTCCACCCCGAGCTCCTCACCATGCGACAACTAACTCCCCTGCTACGCCAGGCATCGCTGTCACGAACCAACCTACTACACAGGTCATCGCTCGTGCGCTGGCCATCCACGCGAGTCCAATGGCTCTCCTCCACGTCGTCGCGGCCTTGTTCATCGTGCCCTGATCCCAAATCCGACCAACCCCAGACCTCGGCCGATTATCGCGCGCTGGGAACCGCCCAGGACCTCTTCACCACTTCCATCTACAGTCCCGGATCGCCGCTCTTTCTTCCAAATGGCACACATATCATCAACAAACTTATCACTTTCCTCCGCACACAATACCTCCAGTACGGTTTCCGTGAGGTTCTGACTCCGACAATATACAAGCGTTCACTCTGGGAAGTGTCGGGTCACTGGCAGAATTACAAGGATGATATGTACGAGGTCCGCGGTCGCGGAGCTACGGGAGAAACGGAGGGAGAGGCGGGCGAGGACGAGTCCTATGGCCTGAAACCGATGAACTGCCCTGGTCACTGTCTGTTGTTCAAATCGCAGACCCATTCTTACCGCGAACTTCCCATCCGCTACGCCGACTTCAGCCCCCTTCATCGCAACGAGATCTCGGGCTCGCTAAGTGGCCTAACCCGTGTTCGCCGGTTTCACCAGGATGACGGTCATATTTTCTGCCGGCCACAGCAGATCAAAGGAGAGATTGCCTCGGCGCTTGGCTTTGTGGACTTGGTAATGACGACCTTTGGACTTGGACCATATCGGCTGGCTCTTTCTACTAGACCTGAGAAGGACTTTATTGGAAGCTTAGAGTTGTGGGACAGCGCCGAAAGCCAGCTCCGTGATGCACTCAACGATACCGGCCGAGAATGGGCTTTGAACGAGGGCGACGGTGCCTTCTATGGGCCCAAGATTGATATTCAGCTTCAGGACCAGGCTGGCAAGTATCATCAGCTATCTACAATCCAGCTTGATATGAACCTGCCCCAGCGATTCGGACTGGAATACCAGGTGGCCGAAGGCGAGCCAGACTACAACCCGGAGACACCCGGCAGGGCGACGCCCGTGATGATCCACAGGGCGAACTTCGGCTCGTTGGAACGATTCCTGGCCCTGCTGATTGAACAATATGCTGGTCGTTGGCCGTTCTGGTTGTCTCCACGACAGGGAATTATCCTCACTGTCAACCAGGATGAGGCGGTTGTTCAAAAGGCACAGCACGCTGCTGCCAAGATCTCCGGATTCCGCGCCCTTCAGTCGGATCAGACGGGAGGGGCCCCTCAGCCTCTATCTTTCACCGACTCGACTTTCCTCATCGATGTCGACACCAGCAGCCAGACTCTGAGCAAGAAGATCCAACGGGCCAAGCAGATGAAGTACAACCTTATCTTCATCATGGGGCCCAAGGATGCCGCTGCATCCCGCATCACGGTCGATATTACTGGTCAGCTGCAGAGCAAGTCTGATCGGAACGCAGAGAGGCTGCAGACTGCCGTAGCTCAATGTTTCGGCGAGAAGGCGCTGCAGAATCCTCGGGCTGTCCCCTTGCCAGTAGATGATGTGCATGGGCTGCTGGTGCAGCTGGAGCGGCAGTTTGTGTGATAGTGGGCCATGTGTATATAGGCGAATAACCCATGTAATATGTTATGATTTATTATCTATCTGATATGATACAGATAGCTTCACTTCTAGCCCGGATGATCGACCCGCTGACTAAAGCAGCCTTAACCCAATGTGGTCTCACCAGCATCGGGCACGTGACACTACGGGTTTTTAAGCTTAATTCGGCGCCGACCCCGAGAGGGTCTGCCTGATTCTGGTGGCCGCCACTGGCGGTTTAGCTCCGGTGTCGGGCTGTTGATTGGCTGAGAAAGACTGGACTCATATCGTCATTCCGAATCCCACCTCGCATCCCGATGCCTCCAACCCTACAATCTTCCTACTCGCACTTTGGAAAGGATCGCACAATGAAGGTCTTACGCTAGAGAACAAAAATTATGCCAGGAACGATAACCATCCGGGTCCAGCCACAACTACGGCGAGAATGATAGAGCGCCAATTGGTGCAGAAAGCTCTTGGAGATCAAGCCATCATCAAATCGCCCCACGGACGACCCATTCTGGAAATAGAGTGCGCCCACCACCGCACCTCAATCGCTGCGGTTTTTTGGGTTTCTTGTCACGCTGCCGCGCTTCTGACCCCACTCGCGCCGCACTCACGCCGCTCTCTCTCTCTCTCGCCTTCTCTTTCCTCCTACTCCAACCCCCGCTCTCCCTTCGCGCCAACCGTCGATTTTTTCCCCTCTCTTCTTCTTTACACATGGAGGGAATTGTGCCCCTTGTATCTTCATTCATGGTTTGCCAGGAGTATCCCACTCCATGGTCGTAGAATCCAATCAGTCGGATATGGCCGAGGTGCCAGCCAAGACCAATCTTCCCCGGAAAAGCGCCTTCTCCTGCGAGGCTTGTCGCAAGCGAAAGGTGGGTTCCCCTCCCCCCTCATCCCAGCCTCGGGTGACCTCCGAGATTAAGTTCCAATCACTCCAAGACAGAGCTTGAATGGCTCTCATGGCTTAGCTATTAGGACTGCTTATTGATCATGTTCGGCTAGGTTAAATGCAATGGGGCTAGCCCATCATGTTCACGGTGTGCAGCACGCGGGGAAGTCTGCGTCTATAGTCTGTGAGTTCCCCTCAGTGCCCCTTCTTGCTGATTGCCTCTACCCCCCACGCGTTCATACTGCATTTCTTAGCAACCCCGTCGACCTTTATTGACTTGTTGATCTTAGGGCTCCGACCTTATCATATACGAAACAACTAGAATCGCGAGTGGCGCAGCTGGAGGATGCGCTCACCAAGCTACGCAGCCAACAACCCCTGGAGCCCGTGGGACTGAAAGGGGCTTCTCGGGCTTCCTCTGCTTCCATAGGGGAATCTAGCGCAAGTCCCGGACGGCGTACCCGCATAAAAGAGGAGGAAGACGATGACCAGAATCTCACCAGAGACTTCGAGGGGTTGAAGGTCGAGTATGATGGACGAATATCCTTTCACGGTCCAACCAGCCTATTCCAGCTTCCAAGTGGTGTTGTCACCGAGGCTTCCTCAACATCTCACCTGGCTATGCACCTGGAAGGTCGCAAGGAAAGGCTGATCAATAATGCATGGCGGGAACGTGCTTATGAACAGCTGGCGACCATGCCGGTAAGACTCTTTGCTTTTTTTCCAGGCAGGAGATTCACTGACATCCATTTCAACCCAGGAGCCATTTCAATATCTTCTTGACTCGCACTGGTGCTGGATCCAGCCGCTCTTCAATTTTGTCTACCGACCTACCTTCACCCGTCTGTTGCCGTCTCCTTGGCATAAATAAAAAGCCCAACTGACACAATCATAGGTGATATGAAAATCAACGGCCCCTATTTCTCCGAAGCTCTTCTCAATGCCATACTTTCCCATTCGGTAAGATGGTGCAAGGCAGAACCGAAGATTGGCCCGATTCTTGATTCCTTTGAAGGCGGTGCGCAGTTCTCGCATCGTGCCGTGGCAGGTCTCTACGACTCGTTGAAAGCCGGATGCTTTGATATACCGACTATCCAGACCCTGCTCCTTCTCAGTGCCCAGGAATGTGGGCGAGGCAATCGAACCCAGGCATGGCTATACAGTGGAATGGCCTTTCGCATGTTGGATGATCTGGGAATTTCAATCGACAGCCGCAAATACTCCGACAGCGCGCACCTGAGCGACGAAGACATTGAGATCAGGAACCGTCTTTTCTGGAGCTGTTATTTCTGGGATAAGCTGATCTGTCTATACTTCGGACGAGCTCCGACCATGCAACAATCTCGCGTCAGCCCTCCGAGAACAATTCTGGATGATACGGCGGAAGTTGAGATCTGGACACCCCACGGTGTCGAATTTCCTGATGGCACGCACTATCCACCCACTCAAGCCCATTCTACTTCATGTTTCATGAAGATGTGTGGCCTAGCCGAGATTCTCAACCAGATTCTTATCCACATTTACGACCCCATTCGGCAGGTCACGGAGGCGGAGTTTTACGAGTGCATCGAGGAACAAGCGAAGAACTTGGCCGAATGGTGGGATGATTTACCTCATTTTTTGAAGCTGCAGGCCACAGACCTCCCACCTTATTCTCCTCCAAGCCACATTGTGACACTCAAGTATGTCTCAACCTTGACTTCCTGTGGCGATTACTGACCACATGTCCCCCTCCAGCTGCCTGTACCATACCATCAACATCCTGCTGCACCGACCGGTTCTATGCTCCAAGACAAACAAGTCCTACGACAAGAGCCACCTTGTCCAATGTATGACGTCCGCAACGGCCATTTTATCACTTTACGACCTATATCGTCGCACTTTCGGGGATATGCATGTGGTCCTCTCCCTCGCATACAGTGTCTACACCGCAGCATCCATATATCTTTTGGAAATTCAGGCCCTAAAGTATGCCGCTCAGGGCACCCTTGATAAGCTCAAGTTCTGCATATACGCACTGGAGCGGGTGAAGGGCTCAAATCCTGGTATGCTTATGATCAATCCAGGGTGTATGAATTCCACACAAATTAACCCTTTGCTATGATAGTCATCACCACAGCTCTCAGCCTCATCTACCAGGAGCTGCAGAAGCTCCAAATTGACCTTCACATTGTCCTTCCGCCACTGTCTCAACCCCCACAACCCGAACCGTCACAGACTATCTCTCAACCACAATCCCAGCCTCAATCCCGACCGCACACCTCACACAGCTCCTCGATTCCAGCGACGCTCTCTAATACTCCAAGCCGTCTGTCTCCCGCCCACCAGCCCCAACACTCTAACCAACATATGGCGTCCAGCCTCCTTCACCCCGCAGGGTTGACATCAGCAGCCGCAGCACCCAGTCTTCCCACTTCTACCTACCATCAACCAGTTGCCGATTTCGAGCTCTCCCAGTCCAGCGTACCGCAGATGGCGAATACGCACATGTTAGGCGGGATGCCTAATGCCGTCATGACGCTTGATAACCCGGGTTCCTACGAGATCACACCCGAGGTCTTCGAGGCTTTTTCGTATGCGGAGCCGATGACGACGAACATGACCCCAGCTGTTGATTACGGATGGAACCGACAGTGATGCATATATTTAATTATATACAGGTATCGGATATAATAGACTCAAGCGGGTATATTAGTGGAGTAGATAATCTCTGGTCGTGCTAGAGTGATAGCTCACATGAAAACGTTCGGACAATTCTGTAGAATCAGATAATGTCATTTATACCATCACATTGCGAGCAATGCACTTAGAGAAATGTTCAATTTGAGATCGTCAAAATCTCACCAAGCTACATCTATGTCCATATTCAGCACTGTAGGTTTTCAAGACGCAACATTCTCAAGTACACAAGAGTTATCCGTAAGATAGGATCAGGAGCATCATCGTTTTATTTCCCTATCGCAGATAGTTTCCATCCTGAGTATATGAATAGGCAACATAGAAGATCGGAATGTCCAGAGATCAACAAGATAACAGACCGATATGGCAAGCTTACTGCCCCCTAGTACACAAAGACTGTGAGCTGAATCGAGCTCTCAAACCGGTAAACATTACAAGGTCCAATTGATACCGCGTGCCTCGACAAACCGCCGTGATCTTTACAAAGACATCGGCAGTGCCGGGGACGAGGAATATCCGGGAGTCTTGGCTCGACCATGCCAGACCAGGTATGTGGGATTCCCTTAAAGCGCTGCACCGTGAACTGTAGCTTGTGTCACGACCTGACGCAAGCTTAACTGCTTACTGGATACGGGGGCTAGTATACCTGGGTAAGAGCATCCTCCAAGGACAATCCAGAATGCTCACGGCTCAGTAAGGGTTGGTTTGGCCTGCAGGGTAGTCGTGGCTAGGACAGAGCGGCTGCGAAACATTCCAAGAGGACTGTACATCCAGCCTTCTCATCCATGTAATGACTAGCTATCGATTAAGATACGTACCTTGGTCTAAAATTAGTTTCTATACTGAGAAGTACGTTGTGAAAACAGTTCAGCAATTCTACTCCCATGTCCGTTCGGTTTATGTCAGCATACATAACTTAGTTACCGGTCTTCAGAGTGAACCGGTACTACCATCAATCAAGAACAATGAGGTATGGACTCATGGGACCTGGGATACTTGTGACTTGCAGAGCAGGGGTGGTGTACAGTACCCATGCTTGACAGGATGCTAACAATACTACGCCATGCCTCTTCGTGGCCGTCTGAGCTACAGCGCCCGAATATCCTGACTGAATACTGTAGTAATTTCGAGGCCAAGCGGTGTATGTAGTAGCTGCAAGAGTTATATGATAGCATAGACAAAGTCTTCATAAGTCTGCAAATAGGAGTATAACATCCCACATAGACTGGACTGCTGGCGATCGTCTAGCACAATTCGTTATCTCTGACGAGTTCATCTCGCAATCACGGGGCCTGGGGCAAAGCCACCTGGGCTGTTACATACGGAAACCCTAGGATATCTATCCGTAAAGGGTTGCGAGTACGGAAACTTCCGCATCACAATACAGCCTTGGCCAGGGGTAGTCATCCAAAATACGATTGTTTTAAAGAGTAGAGACTATGATAGATATATCAATAGATATTATAATTATAGTACTCTTCTACGCTGATTAGGCACAATGGTACTCACGGAAGAGGACCTAACAAGGGCACCCAATCCAGAAGAGCAGGGTGCATCTATCTGGCTAAACAACAGCACCGTTCAATCGTATACTTGGTGTGGATATTGGTTACGCTGTTGCTGGATAATGGTTTTTGTGATCTGATGCATCGTGCTAAGCTTAAATTAAAGACAGACATATGCAAAACATCTCTGAGATCGTAAGGAGCAGCATTCATTCTAAGATAGTGGAAAGCGAACTCTGAAAGGCCTTAACCATAGAGACCGGGCAATTTGTCTTGTAGTTTGACCGCCATCTTGTTCCCAATCCTTGGAAGACAGTCAGGCTTTGAAAGTACTATGGTAAAACCCCTTGCCATGTACTATGCCTAATGGAGCAACAACAGCTTCACACATGGCAAGAGAGGATAAGCTGACGAGTCAGAAAGGGTGCCTTGAATCTGGCGGTGCAAGAAGCTAGGAAGAATACTTGTTCTGCTAAGACCAGTTGGCGAATGGCTGACCACATCTACGTGTGCAGGCTCTGCTGCCTGTGCCGTTTTGCTTTCACTTCGGGCTGCCAGTTTCTGTTTGGAGCTTGCAATCTTGTGGTGCAGATTTGAGAGAGTATGTGCTTTTTCATGCCTCCTTTCTTTTCTTCTCGTTTGGTCTTTCGCTGATAGGAGAGACTCTGACCCTACCTTCCAATGTCACCTAGGGTGCAACATTTGCTGTTGTCTCAAGTTTTCTGATCCTGGTATTGAAGGCATCGAAAGCTTCTCGTATGAACCTCCGCCAGAAGAAGCGTGCGTTGTCACCAATAGGGTTCGAGATCGCGTGGGCCAAGACATAGAATAGAATAAGGTTGGTCCCACCATCGAGATGCTTGTTGGTTCGGTCTCGGAAATGTCTCAAACAGAGCCAGAAAGCTATAAACATAATCTCCTCCCAGTTTTCCCGACAAACCCCCGCGATCCAATGATCGATTCATTTCTAGGAGGCCAAGAGTCTTGGTCTACTTCGATGGATTCTCTTGATTGTCTTCCTCTTGCTTGCCCAAGGATTAAGGTTCACAGAATGCAAAAGTTAACTTAACGTCTACTTATCTAAATCAAGTTGCTCCCCAAATAGGCATATAAAGCGAGTCTCCTCGAAGACAACATCCTAATCAAATCTTCCCCTTATCGCTTCACTGTTGGCACAGCTCTCCTCCTATCGGAGACGGAAGAAGATGGCGGAAGTGCCGCTTCCATGGGAGCTCCCTCTTTTTGTCGCAGCAGCAGGCGGAGAGACGGCCAAAATCACAAGGCTGTTGCAGGAAGAAGGTCAGGATGTGAACTTTCGCCATGAGGCATCTGGCCGAACCGCATTGTTCTGGGCTGCGGAGAACAATTACTGGGATGCGGTCAAGCTGCTCATCCACCGAAACGCCGACGTCAATGTCCGTGATAATCAGGGTCGAACACCCCTGGCCCAGGCAGCAGAGCATGGACACGCAGGTGTCATCAACGAATTGGTCTTGGCTGGCGCCGATATTGAATCGCGGGATGCGCTTAGTCTCACCCCACTAATGCTGGCGACGCAAGGTGCCTCTGATCGTGCAGTTCGTGCTTTACTGGCAGCAGGAGCCGATCCGAATGTCCAGGATACCGAGGGCCTTGGTCGGACTCCTTTGTCATTAGCGGCGGAGCGAGGCTTTGAGAATGTTTGCAAGGCATTAATGGACGATGGCAATGCCGCGGTGGACCTGGCCGACACGTCGCGTCGGACTCCTCTATTGTGGGCCGCGATACACGGCCACGCCAAAACTATCGCCAATTTGCTACGACACAATGCCAACATAGAAGTGAAAGATGCGGTCCATGGTCGCACACCTCTTGCTTGGGCTGTTGAGAAAGGGCACGCGCCGGTGGTTGAGATGTTGAAGAGAAAACACGCATTCATCGATGAAGAGAGAAAGCGTGACAGGGCAGCCTTGCTCCGTGAGCCAAGCGCTGCCCCTGCTAGCAGGCCTGAGCCGCTGCAAACTCGGTCCCAAATCAGTGGACTCTCAGTTCCCGAGACGAGTGACCATCAAGACCGGGGTGATTTCCTAATTTGGGCGATCGAAAGCTCTCGTGAAGACGATGTAAAATCTCTGGTAAAGCAGGGCGCTAGCTTGAACGAGCAAGATGAAAATGGAATGACAGCACTCGCTATCGCTGCGTACAAGGGGCAGACAGACACGGTGAAACTCCTACTGGAAGAGAACGCCGACCCAGACCCTTTGGATGCCTTTGGTCGAACGCCTCTGTCGTGGGCTGCAGAAGAGGGACATTTCGACGTTGCAGAACTTCTCATTGAGAGAAAGGTTCGCATAGATCTAGGCGATGAGGTTGGAATGGCACCCATCTCATACGCAGCTTCTGGGGGACATGAATCCATCGTGTCTTTGCTTTTAGACGCCGGTGCATATCCAGATATGAAGGACGAAAATGGCCGGACGCCTATGTCGATTGCTGCAGCGGAGAGCTATGATTCCATTGTGGCGCTGCTGTTGGAGAGGGGCGCCTCGCCAAATGAAGGGGGCGACGAATCACCCTTGATCTTCGCTGTAGGCGACGACAATCTAGAATTGGCTGAACTGCTGCTCTCAAAAGGCGCGAATCCCTATTCGGATACGTATAGTATCACTGAGTATCCCCCTTTGGTTCTTGCAGCGGATTTTGGCAATGAAGCGATGCTCAAGCTGTTCTTGGAGTGCAATATTGGCTCCGCTGAAGTCAGGAAGGACCATGTCTGGAGAGCTTTGATTGAGTCTTCCCGGGAAGGCCATGTCGGAGTGGTACGCGCGTTGCTTGATGAACTTCCTTTCGACGGCATGGAAGGAGATGACATGGACACAGATCCGCTGTTTTATGCCGAGGGCGAGGAACATGATGAAATCATCCAGCTTTTGGAGCCTTACTATGAGAATCATAAGCCCGCGGTCGAATCAGATGAGTGAACACAAGTCGCCTTCTGCGTGGCTATACTTGGGTACGACAATTATGTATAAATGACAGAACATCTTGTTTGTGTGACTATGAAATGCATCTCTGCACTGGATAATTCCGTCAAAACTGGTATCGGCGTTGGTGGTGTAGATTGTTACTTCGTAGACAAGGGATGAGAGGGAAGCTTTTGAGAAGCAAATACTCCCACAACACATGAAAATTTAACTTCTAGATTGATTGGCGAAGGGCGTTTCCCTTTCATTTGACTCAAGGTTGGCAATGTCGATCCTTGGAGTCAGCATGTTTATGGTCAGAATGACCCGGGAGAGCGGTATAAGAGCCAGTATCAGCCGCAGAGGACGAAGCGATTGGGACATCTTTCGGTTTGGCACGCCAGCGTAAGTACCACGGGTAGTCAAAGAGGTCCCCCATGCGCTCCATGGGAACGCCTTTAGTCTCCGGCATCAATACACCAAGGATGATGAGTCCCGAAAAGCAAATGATGGACCAAAAGAGGTAAGCACCCCAAATATGCAAGGAGACAAACATATTCGGCGTGACCCGCACGACGGCAAACTGAAAGAACCAATGCAGCGTCATGCTCAGAGCGTAACAAACATTACGTATGCGGGTGGGGAAGATTTCCGCTCCGTAGAGATAGGGAACAGTGCAAAGGCCGATGGACCAGCCAATGGCATAGACAAAAACGGAGGCAATAGCAGCATTGGAGGCCGACTGATTGTGGCTCGAACCGGGTCGGAGACCCATGTAGATACCCATGTATACGTGGGCAACCAGTTGGAGGGTTAGCCCAGCCAAGGTGCAGCGGCGGCGACCCAGGTAATCAATCAAGCCCCAGGTAAAAGCCATGGTGAAGACAAGTTTGATGATTCCATAAATGCCAGAAGATATCAGAGAATTAGCATTCCCAGTGACGCCAGCATACTGGAAAATAGTGGCAATATAGTAGGTGATTCCGTTACCTCCGGTCCATTGCGCTATCGTTTGGATGATCATTAGAAGCCAGAATCGCTGGCGATAGTTGGGATTGATCTGAGATTCTTTGAATGCTTGCCAATGTGTGACCGATTTCAAATCTGCTGCCTTTTCTCGCACTTGAGCATTGATGGCATTAAATTCATCTTCCACACCAGGATCGGTGATATGCTTGCCACGAAGACGAGCCAAGACGATACGTCCTTCTTGATAGCGTCGCTTTGATATTAGGTAGCGGGGTGTTTCTGGAACCATGAAGGAGGCGAAAAAGGCGATACCAACAGGTATCAGCGGGATAGACTGCACTAATTGGTATTGCGTGCGGGTGGCAGCCATGTGCAATGTAGCGCCATAATTGATGAAGAAGCCTGTCGAGGTTCCAACGTTAGACCACGATTGGGCCAAAGGGAGGTAGAAAAGTTTGTCCTACCCATGGCTAGAATAAGTAGTAAAATGACCATGAAAGTACTCACGACCAAGCCTCTGGTCTTCGCAGGAGCTAAGCACGATTAGTTTTGTCCAGATTTGACATCTCAAGCGATCACCCACCAATTTCCGACAGGTACAACGGAGCGACCACTGTCAATGCGCCCGCTCCGAGACCACCCCATATTCTGGCGAAGAGCAACAGTCCATAAATCCCCGATGAGAAGATCTGAATAAACAGGCCCGATGCCCAGACCAGACAAGCCAAACGCCAGGCGGGCAATCGGCCGAGGCGGTCGTTCAAATCCAGAGAGAACAAGGCGCCAAAAGCTGCTCCTAGCACATTGAAAGACGTAATGTTGGCTTTGCGGTTGGCCAATCCAGCAGCATCATGTTCCCAGTGAGACCGTACCAGATTGTAGTCGTTTTGAAATGACTCGAGCTTGGTGCTGGCACTGAAGCCGCCCTCATCGTAGCCTGCAGCGCAGAGCACAAGCTATTAGTCGATGACGAGTTCAAACTGGGAAAGAGCAATTGGCGAACGATACCTTTGGGAATGCTTCCACATGCGACGATGAGAATGACCAAGGCGTAGAAAGGATTAGTAGTCCACCGCGACCAGTCGAGGGGCGCCCATCCCATAATGGCGCCAGGCGACGTCAACGCGTGGAGACGGGCTACCAGCCCAGGACAATTGAGGATATAATGATGAAAACAAGATATTAAGGCCGATCAAGGAAAATCTGGGGAAAGCTCCAGTCGCTGAGAGTGGAACACTTGGCCAGGGTCACGCTATGAATGACCACAATTTAGGCGACGAGATTAGAGTGGACGAGGAGCCGAGATGAGGTCGAGAGGGGGAAGAAATTATCCACTCCGCGCGGGGCGTGACTTTCTGCCTCTCGGTCAACTTCCGCCTTCTTCCTTCTCTCTCCTTCCTCTCCGATGCTCTTGTACCACTTTCTCTGCATCTCATCTGCACCCTTTTGTGACTTGTCTGCGCTCAGTACATCATGATTTGACCACAAAGTCCTTTTGAGTTCCACTTATTTCGTGACTTACTACGAATCATAGGAGGCATAAGAACCCCCAAATGTTTCTGAGTAATATCCGGGAAAACACCCGGCGGCTCGCACCGCCAGCACCCACCGGCAGGTGCCACTTCTTCCAGGAGCTGTTCGGGAACAACTTAGTCCAACAGCAATTCAATGATTCAAGGCCTGTCACGGACCTCCTTCGGATACACGGAATGCAATCATTGGCCTTTTTTTCATACCAGATCTCTTTTTCTATCTAGCTCGCGGTCAAAGTCCGACCTGGGTTCCCACAATCACTGAAGAGTGAGAATACATACTATTGGGATCAGCCCTGTCCTAGTGGGTCGCGAACTCCGGCAGTCCGGCTATATATTTCGCTTTGGTTCTCTTGCTCTTGGCCTGTAACTATTGCCTAGGCCGAGCTAGGCCCGTCCCCAGTATTTTATAAAACCATCGGCAAGCCGATGCGGAGTCTACCGTGATCCCTTACGTATCCACAATTATTGTCGCCGAACGGGGGATTTCCTTGCCGGCTCGCGGTTTCAGGGTTTTCAAGTCAATCATGTCTCGATACTCGTGCTTTATAAAGGGATTAGTGGGTAGGCTGCAAGACACGACTTTCGTGAGTTCATTCTGTCCCGAGTTGAACCTCATGTCCTGTTGACAGCTTTCCCTCATTCTTCGCATCACGTAACATGACTTTGCTCTCTATGACCAAAGTGCTCACAGACTTCAAGGCCAGGGCTGGTCTCTTCGGCAACCCCCGAGTTCTACTTAGCACAACATTGCTCAAAGGAGACAAGAGCAGTTATCACCACAGAGATATACGCAGAGCCACTACACGGGCCTCCCCAATCAAGCATCGCATACCTTCAGGAACATGGGACTCGCACATGCACGTCGTTGACCCGCAGCGCTTCCCTGTCTCCCCCACCGCGGTGTACACGCCTTCAAAGCATACGATCGAAGAGGCCATGGCATTCGAATCTTCTTTGGGGATAGGAAAGATCATCCTAGTCCAGCCGTCAATATACGGAACGGACAATTCCTGTCTTTTGGAGGCACTCCGACACGTGGGGCCGTCTCGCGGGCGTGCGGTTGTGGTGATTGATCCGGCAACAATCGATTCCCAGACACTCGCAGATTGGCATTCAATAGGCGTACGGGGCGTGCGGGTGAACCTAAAATCAGTCGACACGGTGCTTGATGAACGTGACTTGGCAGAAGTGCTATTGCAACATGCGCAGGTCATCCGGTCCCTCGGATGGGTCATCCAAGTCTACGTCTCGCTAGACATGGTTCCGATGCTTGAGAAGATCGTCCCTCAGCTGGGCGTCAAGCTGTGCATTGATCATTTTGGAAGCCCCGATCTGACAAGAGCTGACAGCCCTCTGCAAGGTGCATCGCCATTCGATCCATACAGCCTGGCGGGGTTTTCGTCTTTGATATCTCTCCTTCAAGCGGGAGAGACATACGTCAAAATCTCCGCCCCGTACCGTCTCAGCAAGGATGGACAATACCGCGATCTGGAGGTAATGGCGCGAGAATTCCTGCGCGTGGCCCCGGAGCGAGTTCTCTATGCAACCGACTGGCCCCATACGCGCTTTGCTGGGATGGACATTGAGCCATTTACCGAAACGTGTCTGCGCTTGTGCGAAAGTGTGCCTGGACTGGCAGATCGAGTATTTCGGCGGAATGCCGAAGAGATGATGGGGGAGGACGCATGATACGCTGATACAACTCGACCTTACGATTCATGACTAGATTAGCATAATACCACATACCATTGATCACATGCAATAATGCTCACCGGTAACATCGACGGCAGAATCCGAAACAATCAGATCAAGAATTACCATGTATGGATTGTCATCTCGGCCAGGTTCCGGGCCGCGGTGTGACCAGTTGAGAGAATAACCTTTTTTTCCCGCCGGGAACAAGGAGGCAGATGAATTGTTCCCCGGGTAATCCGCGGCTATCCGAACGGTTTTAACGCTAATCCCCGTTGCCGTAGGGGCGCCTTCCAGCGACACTATTGCAATTTGCAGTGCAGTTCTCCTTAGTTTCGGGGAACTTCCGATCTGCGTTTTTCAACTATGGTTGAGTTCTGATTTCAACGCTTCAAGATAGATCATGCTTCCGGAAAACCTTCAGCCTTCAAGCACCTATGATCAAGATCTCTATTACGTTGCAACGATCATAATCTGTAGTGTTAACTTGTACGGGAGTTCCTCCAGCTGTACGATGGCCTATTGCGTCGAGAAAAACGTCTCTATTATCCAGATTGCAGAATGCGATGCGTCGAATTTGTACCCCTAATCATAATCTCCACGATCACAATTTCGCTGAGCGTGTAGAAGGCACCTGCACCCCAAACCCGTTCAACCCCACGGAGACCAGACAGTAATAGCCCACCAGGAAGACAAGTTCCTGCGCCCCTTCCACCCCAAGCTCCTTGACAGCCCTATCCCAGAGAGGGTCCGGCAGTGGCCCACCCGCAAGAAGCGAGCGAGTCACCTCCAAGGCGCATAACGCGTCCGAGTCTAGTTTGGGCGGGACTCGACTATCGAGAGTAGCCGCCACCGTGTCGATTCCTAGAAGCGGCGTAGCCAAGAGGGTGTGGGCATAGATCTCATAAGCAGCTCGATAGTGGGCGCCGACGGCCAGGATGGCGACTTCTCGCACGGGACGGGACAGATGGCCCGGCCGGACCAGGAGGGCTTGAGTGAGAGGTACCAGTGCCTTGCCTATAGTCGGATGGTGGATTAGGAAATTCCAGGGTCCGAGAAGGGCCCCTTCAGCTGTGTGGCTCACGACGGTGCTGAATTTGTCGCCGATGATCCGCTGAATCTCGTCATAGAGGGACTTCTGGGCTGGGGATAGGTCTTTGGGAGCAACAGGAGGAAGGCGGGTGGATGACATTTCGAGATTTGCTGGCAACGTATGGACACTAAAGAGCTCGTTGTAAGTGTCTGTGCGTGTCTGCGCGGAGGAAGGCTTTGCCTTCCCTAGTTGAAGCACAAGGCGTTTCTGAACAGTTATATCGCAGAGCACAAGATAGAAATACACATATACTGTCATCTTCGTCTATGATTGAAAGCGGTAGTATGGCATTGTGATATCCTTTGTAGGATTTGTCCCGCCACCCAGCCTAATTCCTGGATGAGATGAGGTGCTTGGCATTAAGGCCAATACGCCGTTAATATTATAATATTGAATGATACAAGTGAAGGCACGTTCTTCACCGGAATAGGATTCAAGCGCATACAGTGGTGCTGGTCTGCAGAACTCTGCCAGCGGCGTCAACGTAGTTGCAGAAGGTTTGTGGCGTCTGCCGGTTCAATAGATCTATAGAGTGATAGTATATGCAGCTGTACCGTGACGATTCGGGGTGGCGGGTTGGGTGAGAACCAAGGAAGACTATGACATACAGACTTAGAGGACAATGATCTGCAATGTTAAGTCAGTATGGCTGTCTTGGCGAGGATTACTGAGTATCTTCTTCCAGGTTGCTCAGAGTACTTTCCCGAAAAGGGTGCCTGCTTCAAGGACTGCCTGACCAGAGACATATATACATATGCTGTAAGGTGCGTGGTCTGAAAAGGCGTTCCGCTTGCCCTGGCCTGTGAGGCTTGGAGGCATTGATTCACTGCATAGAATAGATTGCAATACTTGACGGTACTATATAGCCTTTGGACGAACAAAAAAGAGCCCAAAGTACCATTTACTAATGCAATCTAGTCTAGGCAGTAATATGATAGGCAAAAGAATTCTGGTCCATGAAAATAGTTTCAACATGGGCTACTGGTGTGATCAAAGGCGCAGACGAACCCATATCTTCCTTGGAGCGGCAGATCAAAGTTTTGCCGCCATACTCTTACTTCCGGTTTCCGGTTCCGCTGCCCTCCATTTCTTGGCGGAGGCATCACAGCGCTCCTGTAAGACGGGATGCAGCTTCTTCCAGCCATCTTCTTCTCGACTGAGATCCACTGGGCTCCCGGACCGATGGTGGAAGAACACATGACTGCAATCTGTCTCTGAAACGACCGCATCTTGCGCACAGGACCAATTGACAATCCGAGAAAAGAACCGGTCCCGCCGAACTCCTTCAATCCGAATCCCAGTGATCAACTATTCGCTTTATTAGAGACAATTGAACGACCAAAGGCAAAAGCAAAGAGAGTAACAGCCATGGTTCAGTCATGATTGGACTAGGAGCATGAAGGACACACCAAATCAGGATACTTGACGGGTCTCCGTATTTTGGTTGAATATCGATTGGTGACCACTCCTACACCACGAGACCTAAAAAGGTCTTCAAATAGCCGGTCGCCAAGGACTTCTTCAAACGACTGAAAGAGGCGATAGACGCATGTGGTGGCGATGGAGGTGTACTGTGGAGCTTGAACATGGCCCCAGGGGTCCTGATCCGCGAAAAATGAAACTGGATGCGAGGACAGCGTGTCGTACTCATACCCCTGTTTTGCTAGAATCCGTAGGATGCGCTCGATCTTTCTGCGGTAAAACTCGCTGCCATCAGGGTGCTGGTATGAGGATGCGTCGAGGGCGGATTTGGGTCCCATTTTGCAAGGAACCCGATTCTTGAGGGACGTATAGTGCACTGTTGCCAGTGGTGCCTAGGAGTCAAAGATACAAGGCTGCTGTTTGTTAATGGATTACAAGAAGGTGACGGATTGATATGTTCGAGTATGCGGATTTATGAATATGTCAGAGACACCTGAAATTTTTAAGCGGCTTTGATGCGAATGCCTTCGAGCTTGAGGTTGTAGCCTAGCCTCCCATGCATTCTTATACCGAGTAATTGAGCTCCGACCGCTTGGAATAACGCAAGGGCACTATGAACCAATCAACAATATATCATCATCCTTCATCAAGGGAAGCAATAAAGCTCACTACCGGGCTTCCCGGGTGTCACTGCAGAAACAAGCCATTAAGTATGCCCTTTGATCAAGGTGGAAGATTCACATATATCAACTCCGAGTGACTTACCATATAATACAGCACAGTTGGCGTTTGATGGATAGACACATATACAATATTCAGTTGAAATGCGTCAGGAGCGATACCTACTCAGACAATGCCAAGAAATAGGCAGAGCCATAACTTACTCATGTTTGAAAAGCCCATCAAAGGCCGCTTTTGTAGAGCTGCCTGGGATCTTAGATGGGTATCACCTGTGTGAGTTCTTTTGATATTTGTGGGAATCCACATACATCTCTTCTTGATTGTGTCCATTCTCTCCCAATGCGCCAGTCAGTTTCGCGCAAAGGGTGCGGCTCCAATAGGATGAAGCGATCCAGAAAAAAGGTTCGAATAATGCTATCAAAACCGTCCGTTTCGAGTTCTGAGTCGGCGGTGTTTCTTCCATCGTACACCGCGGCTTAGTAGGATGCCGTGATGCTACCCTGAAATTAGATGCATAATTGCTGTGAGGGTTCTCGCTGATGAATATGGTAACAGAGTGCTCATCTGGTTGCGCAAGAGCGATATTGCCATGGACTGACGATTTCGTGCCTCAATGCTAATTCGCAAGTATAATGTGCTCAGCTTCTACTTGCCTCATTTGCATCACTCTAGCTCTCGCAATGATACAACGGGGACGAGAGCGATACATACATAGGATGACCTTGACTTATCCTTTTCACCTACGTATCCACGAATCGAAACGGTGAGACTTAGCAGGATGCATATTTGGTACTAAGTATGAGCAATTTAACGCTAGCTATATGGGGACGCTGTGGGGTTGAAGACTCATGAAAACCTCGCCATCGTGCAAGGGTAGCGCCCAACAGGGTAGGGGCACGGGGGGGGAGGGCAACTGGGACTGATCTTCTGCTGAGGTCAAGTTTTGCTGGTGAAGATTATCTTCAGAAGGGGGCAACATCAAGTCCCCCTTTGACAAGCGCACCTCTGAAAGCACAATCTCAAGCTGCGAGACGATCTCGTCCCTACTCCAGCTCTTGACAGAAGCGCCAAATCTTAGCTCCCCTAATCTCCCGAGGTGTGCATTGCAAATATTGGACCATGCCATTGACTTAGCCCACATCAATAGACCCACCCCGAGATCGCTTGGGATTGGAGGTTGGCTGGCTCTAAACACTAGACGCAAGGGGAAGCAGGCGGGCGAGCACCAGCAGTCCGCCGAGTGTTTAGTGCCGGTAGTCATCGTACCCTCTGGAACTTGGTCGGATTCCAGGAGTGGGTTTGTTTCCTCCAATGCGACGTCAGAGGCTGAGTCAGTGGATCCAGCGGTGCTGTTTCCAGAGAGCGATCCAGATCGGTAGACGCGGCACCTTCGAGCCCTAGGGTCTCGATCTATGTGACAGGCATGAGTAAAGGAGGGTCCTCGGTTCACTTCTCAGGAGGTGTACGTACCCAGGGGTAGACGCCTACGAGCCAGAGTCACAGAGGGTAGACTCCTAAGCACGCGCTCTACATCGCTCGGCATCAGGGTGCAGCCTTGCCGAGACCGGCGCGGTCGTTGGTGAATGCTTTTCTTCAGAAGGCTCACCGCTTCGTCTGTGGACTGCAAAGATTGACTGAGAGTGGCTAGGAGGCTAAGAAGGTGCTTACTCCAGGAGGTCGGAGCCATGTGCGCGGGTATCACCTGGTGTATAGGTGATTTCCACTGGTCCATGATGATGCGCATGTTGATGGCTTTCGCTCGATCTGATCGTTTGAAGCGCTGGAGGATGGGTAGAATTGTCTCGCGATAGCTGATCAACTGCCGGTATTGCTCAAGGGACTCATACTTGAAGGTCCAAAGATCATTCCGTAGCATGTGTTCCCAGCCGACATGGATAATCTCTGCCAGCCGTTCATCGGCGACAATGCCCGCGTTAAACACCTCGGTCAAAATCTCAAGTTGACAGAGTTCAGGCTGTCCCTCGAGCTCTTCGGCGAGAAGATCTCTAGCATCAACGGTAGATCTGGCACACAGTGACTTTCTAATGTGTTCCATGTTGCTTGCGCGACACTGGATTTCCAAGTGCTCGTGTCGTGTGTGAAGCTGGTGCAAGTCATTTTATTGTAACCATTCCAGAGCCCGCCCTACGACTGAGTATCTATGATACTAGGTGTCCGCGTTGAGAACAAGATAAATCCAGAAAGCAAGGGTGCAGGCAGGACCATCACACCCAACCTTGATTTTATAATGAAGACTTTTGTTTGATGCATTCTTCAGTATCTTTGCAGTATCTTGCAGTTAAAGAAGCATCCCATGGTTCCTCAATTCTGCCCGCTCACCAACCATATCATTTCATATCTTAACTACAGCATTTAATTTCCACAAAGGCGCTGCTCATGCAGCAAGCCAGGTTATGTGATAGGGCCGTCTTCGTCGCAGAGAATGACGCCTATGTCGATGTCGATGCTATAGTCAGACCTACGATAAAGAAAGAGAAATCACTCAACTTCCAGGTTACATCATTGACAGCCTTGGTGTATGCACTTATGACAATCTTGTGAAGTAATTCCCCAGTCTTCAGGCCGCCTTGTCGACTTCTAGAGCTTTGGGAATGTCACGATTCGCAAGCAACTCTTGTAACTGACAGTCTGTTCCCCAATTACATTTGCTTATGAAACATAATCTGATGCCGCTCACTTGTGGTCAAGAAAATCATCCTCTTCCATCGACCCCTTCAAGGGTGACGCGTACTCCGTGCAAAGCGGCGCGAGTAAATCATGTATTTCGCGCTTCTTTCCCAAATAGTGGCATGCGGCCTATGATGCTATGGTGGGCACAATTGACTACCGAACTGAGTAACCTAGAGAGGAGAAGCCTATAGTCAGCCTTGCCCTCGATCTCATGCTACTGAAGCTACACAAAAATAGCGGTTATAATCAACAAACCACCAGCTCTCGCTCAGGAGACTTCGGTCACCTGAATTGCAGTCTCCTTACTCAAAACGTCAGGAGTCGTAGAAGTCGAATTTCTGTTTTCTTCAAACTATCCTTATGATTCTACTTGAGAGGCGAAAATACCAACTTCTTCAAATGTCAAGACTCTACCGTCAGCAGCTTATGCTGGCAGCTTAAGCCGACGACGATAATGACGGAGCATAGGATTGGATACGGCTTTAGGACAATATACTCAGACTCTTCATAGCAACTCAAATGACTCGACTCAGAAATATTGAAGTGTCAGAAGCAAACAAGATGAATAAGTGAATCCGTTAAGTGAATCCACACGTCGGACATGACAAATATGTTTCGCTGCGAGTGGAACCCTATCGAAGAAGTATCTGACTACAGTGGTGTTGATATTTGCAGGTGCTCGATCTCATCAGAGACCAGAATCCAGAGGTCTTTGACTCCAAGCCAGAAAAGTCCACCGGGGCCAGGCCAGCTCAGCAGCCATTGCAGCCTCAAGAGCATCCCAAGTCCGCGTCAAAAGAGTATCAGATACATAGTACCCGCCACATGAGCATCTAAACCCAGACAGGATGGAGTGAATAGTTTGGTGAGCAGTCTGGGCTCAAGAGACTGTGCATCGTCTCCTGGTACATGCTGTCTTTTTTTGCCTCCAAGAATGTACGAGAGCCTGTGGTGGCTTTCCGCTACAATAGCACACGAAAAGCAGATCAAATGTGTCGGTGTTCCCGAGTGATTCGGCCATGTGATCCAAAGGCATTACCAGGCTTGTTCACTCACGGAGAACCCAGCTAATTCAACCACCTTCCAGATTACCCATTTGACCATTCCAGTGGCGCCACACCTTGTAGCCCCTTCATCCAGAAAGCTGAGGGACGCCCGCTAGCTTCTGATAGAGTCTGTCAAAGGCTCCTCTCCATGGTTCCATCCAACGGACCAGAGGAGCGATGAAGCAGAGATAGCCACAGGCTATCTGGGTCGGGGGACGAGCCCGATTTTCGAGAAGCTTGCGAACCACTTTTTTCGCAAAGACTCCTCTGTCGATTGCCTTCTTGATGAAATGCTGATATGAGGATGACAGAGGTGTAGCTCCCACCTGGTTTGATTCAGTTGTTGCCAGCAGAGGGGTTGATATAAAACCACTGCGAAGGTAGACAACCCGAATCCCCAATGGCGCAAGTTCGTGGCGAAGGATATCGTTCAAAGCCGCCAGCGCAGCTTTCGAGGCGGAATAAACACCAAAGCCCAACAAGGGCAAATCTGCAGTTATGGATCCGTGATTAACCACAATTCCCTTGGAGGCCCGCAGTTGTGGAAGAAAAGCGTTTGTCATTGTGATTGCTGAGAATGCGTTGGTCCGGAAACACATTTCCACTTCTTCGATAGTAGCCTCTCTCAATCGACCGCTTGGTAAACATCCCGCATTGTTGATGAGTACATCGAGAGCTGTTATAGAGTCTGAGAGTGCTTTGATGGATTTTGACGAAGTAACGTCCAGGTTGAAAGTATGTGCGCCCATAGTTTGCAGCTCTTTGAGACGAGCTACATCGCGAGAAGTCACGTAGATATCGTGCCCCTCACTCAAAAGTTGCCGGGCCATGGCATCACCCGCCGAGCCTGGTGACGCTCCAGTAATCAGACACTTCAAAGAATGCTGCGTGTTCATGATCTCAGTTGCAGAGTTGCAGAAACCGTAGAGGAAGAAGAGAGTAACAATGAAAAGTCCCAAATATCGTCGTGCTAGGACCAAGAACTCGTTTATGTACGTACCTATACAAATGATTCTACTTTTGTTCGAAGCCTTGGCCAATCGACAGCGACTATAGTAGTCGGCCTCGGTAATGATGCCAAGCCCAGAATCAACGGTCAAAGCCAGGAAATGGATGGCGTATCCCTTGCATTTCAGCGCTCCATGAGAGATCGAAGGCTCTTCAAGACACTCTAGGGACTGAGGGGAAGCTCCGGGAGTCAAATCCTGCTTGGCCTGCATTTGAGTGACACCAATCACACATGGACGCTACTGCATTGGCCTGTTTGGTTCTCCAGCCTAAGCTTGGGGGAGTGCGGAGCCCGCAGAGAAAGGCTCAGCCTGGAATCAAGGATGGCGGGACCGGCGGTTTTCTTTACTGAGTATGGACTTGCACAGCTCAAACTGCGGAATCGCAACTCGACAATCGAAGAAGCATATTCTCATCCATGACGTCAGATAGTTCCCATTACTTTTTTCTTTGAGAATTCAGCCCTAAGTAAGAAAAGTATACTGAGTATCACAAACAAGATGAGATGAAAACGGGAAGAAGCACCCCCCCGACTCGGAGCTCGTCACCTGTCATTCTTAGCATCTTCGAAGAAAAACCTGCGCTATACTCGGGTTACGATGTCTCACCAGGAATACCTCCACGAGCTGGATGCCCATGGCATGTTGCTGGTTCAAATATCTTACTATGTTCCATTTATCGAAGGATACGAGCTATCCTTCTTGCAAGACTGCTATGATGAATTGGTGGGAAAGTGGCCGATCCTACAGGGCTCCGTTGATATAAGAGTGAGTTGTTTGCCGAATTGGAAGTCTCCTTAACGGGGAAATCACTCATCGTTGAGGTTCTTTCCAGCGGCGAGAGATCAACCATCACACGAGCTCCAAGATTCCTGGGTTTCAACCTATCAATATTGAACAACGTGATCTTGGTATATACGACCCCGTGGACTCTGTGTGTTTCACACCATCCTTATTACGCCTCCTTTCCAAATCGATAGCGAGGAAGGTCACCTTAGGAAAGCTGAGGCCCCGAGTGTTTGTTGTCAGTGTGACCAGGCTAAAGGGGTGGTCTGTGATAGGATTCCATATTGACCATTCACTTTGCGATGGTGATGGTAGGCTCTGCTTGATTGTCTGATAGAGAACTGGGACGCTTTGCTAATGCATCCGGGGTGTTTCCGTTTCTCACAGGACTCAGCAAGATTATTCGTGCATACTGTGATATCATCCAAGGAAGAAAGCCTGGCCCCTTGAGGAGGAGACCAAGAAGCGTGCAGCTAGATCAGGAGAGGAGCCCGACAAGCCTCGAAGGGCCGAATGTCGACAATATTTGCCGTGGATCCACAATCGGAGATGTCGTGGGAGGATCAATGACCGCAGGATGGAGCCTCATCAAGGAGACATTCCGGGATTTCTTCGAGGAGCGGATGGACGGTCGAGTGCATGTGCCCGAGCAACTCGTTCGGAAATGGCAAGACGAGTGCATAGCTCAAGGCATTCGGGCGACTACACATGACACTCTTATAGCTTGGATAGCACGAATAGTAGGTTCTGCTGCCACGAGCACTCGCTCAGGTAAGTGAAGTGCGTTGACATCAACAATTCTGCAGGTATTATCAACTTCCCCGGCGCCGAAGTGGCGGCCATTCAACATTGTTATCCCGATCGGGTTTCACGCATTGCTCGACGATACAGCCCATGAGAACGTACTAGAGAATAGCTTCATACTCTCTTCCCTGACTTTGAACCCAGAAGATGGAAACCTCTCGATTGCAAGCATCGCCAAGCAAATCCGCACGATGATCGATGCTTCCAGGCAGATCGACAATCTGCAGTCCGCCATTGACAAACAGGCCAGACACCGCTTCTCTCTAACATACCCCTTGACCAAGGAAGTAGGTTCTCCAGATCCGTGGCTGTTATTGTCTTCCTGGGATGCGATCGCACCCGATGAGGTCGCGGCAGCAGCCTTCACAGCACCTGGCAAGACTCCGTTCATCTCATGTGACGAGCTGAAGGTTTTTCCAATGTGCGATCTCACAATCCGAAATCTGAAGAACACCCTATGCTCTTTCAAGTGTCCGTGCGGTGGGTACTGGCTCCACGGGCCCCTCCTGACCCACGCATGGGATGCCGCCCATGCAGCCGTTGCTGCCGAGATGTCTGGGATTTCGAATGTGGATGCTGGTTCTCGTCTTATCAAGTGCGAGCATGGGAAACAAAAGACTGTCATCAAAAGTCTGCTTTGAGAGCAAGAGGCACACGCGGGAGTTCAAAGTCATATCGTACCTGTTGAATGGGAAGGAAGACCTGGGAAACCGTTGCAGATCTGGAGACGAGGAGGGCACGACCACAGTCTTTCCTCCTTCTTCAGTCCCTCTCAACCTCCAGAAGCCTCACACATTTTATCCTGAAAAATGACCGACGCATGTCACGGGTCGATGCGCTACAACATCGTGTTGAACAAACTAACCTAAAGCTCTGGAGCATACACCAAAAAGATTCAGACTTCGCGCAGGACGGCATCTGAGTGGCGTGTGGGAGAAAAAGCGACGACCTTTGTTCCATTATTACGCTTCTTGCAAAACAATTTTCCCCTCTACACATCCATTTGGTGTCGACGTCGTGACCGAGGTGTGTGGAACTCGAGACGTAGACGGTATAAGCGATATTTATTGTTTTGTGAGTGATGAATGAAATACATAGATCTATACTATATCGAGTCTTGAGACATGCCATATCTAACACTCTAAACGCTCTATTTAGCTCTAAATTTGGGACGGAGGAACCGGGCTCTCCAATGTGCGAATCGCCCGGGTTAGTCGGTGTATAATCTCTATCACGTTAGTCTTGATGGCGTATGGCAGTTGCTGATGCTGATGCTGATGCTGATGCTGTTGATGCTATATGTGGGGTGAATGTGCTTTCGTGACGTCGTGGAAATGTCTGTCGCTGAATGGATTTGCCTGATCCACCACTTTTATTGGAAAGGGAAACGAGGACGGCGGAGATGGGAACTGAGTTTACAAGCTAAAGCTTCTCACTCCATCCCCAAACAGACCACCAACATCGCACCTCGAGGGCCCCACCATCGGCCGACTCCCAATCATCGTAGCCGACCTCCTCGCCCTCGTCGACAACCGCCAGTCCGAGCTGGCCCATCCGCTGCCGGAAGTCCTGCACCTGCGGGAGGTACGCGTCGCGCAGGGGCATCTCGACGACAACGCGGGCGTTGAGCCCGCGGCTAAGCCAGTGGGTGACCGTGTCGACGAGCCACTTGGGGTGGTTTGGCGAGTACAGCGGGTCGGCGGCTAGGATAAGATCGTACTGCTCGGCGGGCGTTGGGAGGGGCGTCGGTGGCACGGACCAGTCCAGCACGCCGGTGGTGACCGTTGCGCCGGTGCGGTTGAGTAGCTCAACATTGAGGGCGGCGTTGTGCGCGAGGTTGGGCACGATGGCGGGAAGGTCGGTGAGGTGGATGCTGGCGGAGGGACCGCGGAGGGCCGCAAAGGAGAGGCCAACAAGCCCCGTGCCGGCGCCGAGTTCGAGCGCGCGGAGAGTACGCTCCGGGTGGAGCTGCGGCGTGGTGGTGGTGGTGGGGACGAGTTGCGGGGGGGATTCGAGGAGGGAGTGCAGGCGGATGGAGAGGAGGTAGGATGACACCCAGGTTTTCATGCCCAGGTTGTCGCTGGTCAGGGATGGTTCATGCAAGGTGAGCGTGTATTCTTCGCCATGGGAGGTCGGGATCATGAAGACTCGCGACATGGCGGGCATTGCTATGTGATGAGTGTCAGATCGGATCCTCTATCGACCCAGCCAGCCCTCCCCGCCGGTGGTGATGATCACGGCTACGACAAGCTACATTCCATTCTACGTACCGGTTCGACCTGAGCGCTCGCTGAGTCTAGCCGCAGCGGCGTCCCAGACAGCCTCCCGAAGCTCCTCGGTGTCGAGCCATGCCAGGGGACTCGAGATGATCGAGGTCAGATAGCGGGTGATACCGGCCGGGTGGACGGTCTGCGCCTTCACCGCTTCAGGGGCTGTGAGACCAAAGCTTCGCGGCTTTGTTGTCAGAAGACTGAGAGCCTGGATGAGTTCAGTGCCTGAGGGCTTAGTATGGATCTGGGGAAGATCGAGCACTGCGACGGGCTTATCAGTTCATTATCGTTCCTATCTATCAGGGGCTAAACTGGAGGGGCAAACGCACCGTGGATAGGCTCATCGGGATCGGCGCTGATCATGATGTCGGTATGCGGAGGGACGGCTTGACTGTGCTGGATGCGATACAGGATGGTATAGAGGTTGGTGAAGCAGCCCTCTTTCTTATAAGCCCCAGATCTGTGGCGAAACGAGCGATGGGGATAGAAGATCTGGGCCTGCAAAAAAAAAGTCGAGATTACCCAAAGAGGAAAGGCTGGTGTGCGTTGTTCCGCGGATCGGATCCGCTCCGGCGGCGCAGTTGAACCTTCACATCCCGAGATAAGCAGATAACCACGTTTTCCTTCTGATCAAATACACACTCTCTGCAGACCGCCATCTAGACATGAAAGAAAACATGGAAAATTCGGTTGGTATCTAACCCCAAACGCCCAAGCACCAATGCTGCAAGATAAAAGACATTCACCCCCTCTGAATTCAACAGGCCGACTCAGCCCAGAGTCGATTTGAAACCCATGTACGCTTGCTCGATATCAAAGGACAGTTCTCTGGCCTGCTCCTCACTGAGTTCCTCGGTCGCTCGCATTTGATTCAATGTGATCAGCCACTGGATAATCTTGCCCCGGTTCTCAAAGTCCGCGTCTGTCACCTTGTTGACGGACTGGATCACTTCGGAGAGCAGAGGGTGCAATGCATCTTTCGAGACCATGTTCAATTTCAGCGCATCGAGGAAAGTTATGAAGTTCTCGGTGGCTGTCAGAATCAAGGTGCCAGAAGCGCCGCCTGGCGGACCTGTTGCTGCCGGGGCCATGTTCGCCGCGGGGGTACTATGAGTGGCTTGTTCCACTGTGGCGGGGAGCCCGATTCGTAGACGTTCGGTGGCACGGGGGCATTCCAACTAGAGATGCGCATAAACAATCAGCCATGAATATTAGAAAACGTTGAGGATATACTCACCCCCCATTTCCGCTTGAAAGTCTCGAGGTCGACGAATTCTCCGGCGACGATATCATCTCCCAAGCTAGACTTGTACTGCTTCAGTAGACGAGTGCAGGTCTCCGTGTACTCCGATTCCGTGACCACGTCTCTGATATACGCCTTCTCAAGACCATCCAAAGTGACGATGATACTGTAAATCTCCGCCAGGGATTCGTGAAGATCGCGCTCCGCCGAGCTAGATGCTAGCTTCACTTCCTGGCATTGCGTGATGTGACCAGTCAGCGAGCTACGATCCAACAAGCAGACCGTACGGCTCTAGCTTACCTCATCGAGGTTGATGGACGCAGCCAGCGCCGGGTTGGGCGTATAGCTGTAAGGCGTGGGAGCATACGACAAAGGCCGTTGCGCATACATGGTTGAAGAAGCGAGTATGCCTTGATTGATTGACAGACAAGTGATGCTCGAACTGGACCGGCCGGTGTCCCGCATGAGGGGAAACCAATGAACCCTCAAGGCGGTCACCCGATGAAAGTCGCTGCTCACCGCTCAATTCTGCCGCAACATGTATTTTTTTCCGTTCTCCAGATTTTTTCTCCCGACTCCCTGAGATTTCGCGGGATTCCTTCATCTCTTGAATTTCTTCCCCCCCAATTTTACACCTTTCTATCTCTCCGCGAAATCCTCGTGAAGGGAACATTCCGGCATCATGGCTGGAAGTCAGAAGAAGTCCACCAAGAAGTTCGAGAAAAACCATCTGAAGGATGTTCTCGAGCGTCGAAAGGCCACCGCCAAGATCAAGCAGCGCAACCACCTGAAGGAGAAGCGTAAGGCCGACAATGCGAAGCAACGCGCAGAGCGGGAGGACGATGCGGAGGAAGACACCGAGCAGGTCCAGAAGCAGAAGGACTTCGCGGAAATGAACGTCGACGATTTCTTCGCGGGCGGCTTCGACATCCCCGATTCGGCGGCCGAGTTGAGCAAGAAGGGTCGCAAGAAGGCCGTCACCCCCAAGATCGGCAAGCGCAAGCGCTCCGACGAACAGAAGGACGAGGAGGCGGCCTCTAGCGGTGCCGAGGAAGACGGCAGCGATGCCGAGGGCAGCGGCCCCGACGACTTCGAGGCGCACAAGGATCAGCTCGAGGCATTGAAGGAGAAGGATCCGGAATTCTACAAGTACCTGAAGGAGAACGATGCTGAGCTGCTCGACTTCGGTGATCACGGGGACCTTGCCGAGGTCGACCAGCTGAGCGAAGAGGAAGAGGAGGAGGAAGGTCCCGCGAAGAAAAAGAAGAAGGGCTCCAAGGCCAAGGCGGAGGTGGAGGAAGAAGCGGAGACGCAAGACAACACATTGACCCTCGAGATGGTCCAGAAGTGGCAGAAGTTGATGGAGGAGCAGCACTCGATCCGGGCGATGCGCCAGGCGGTCCTGGCCTTCCGCGCGGCGGCCTACGTCAGCGAGGGCAACGAAGAGCACAAGTACCAGATCTCCGACTCGAACGTCTACCACCAGGTGCTCGTCACGGCGCTTAACAACATCCCGCGGGTGCTCTCGCACCACCTGCCCGTCAAGGAGAGCGCCTCGGGCAAGGTGCGGATGTCGATGGACTCGAAGAAATTCAAGACGCTCACGCCGCTCATCAAGTCGCACACCTCGTCGGTGCACCAGCTGCTGACCAACCTGTCGGACGAACCGACCCTGAAGCTCACCCTCTCCTCGATCGAACCCATGCTCCCCTACCTCCTCCAGTTCCGCAAGCTCCTGAAAGTCCTGATCAAGACGATCGTCGGCATCTGGGCCGACGTGTCCACGACCGAGGCCACGCGGATCACGGCCTTCCTGATCCTCCGCCGGCTGATGGTCGTCGGCGACGCCGGACTCAAGGAGGCCGTCCTCAAGGCCTCATACGAGGGCGTCGTCAAGGGCAGCCGCAACACGACCGTGCACACGCTGGCCGGCGTGAACCTGATGAAGAACTCGGCCGCCGAGCTCTGGGGCATCGACCAGAACGTCTCGTACACAACAGGCTTCAGCTTCATCCGCCAACTCGCCATGCACCTGCGCAGCAGCATCACCAACACCTCCAAGGAGTCCTACAAGACGGTCTACAACTGGCAATACGTGCACTCCCTGGACTTCTGGTCGCGCGTGCTCGCACAGCACTGCGACGCCCTGGTCGAAGCGCAAGCCGGCAAACCCTCGGCCCTGCGCCCGCTCATCTACCCAGTGGTCCAGATCACCCTCGGCGCGATGCGCCTGATCCCGACAGCGCAATACTTCCCGCTCCGCTTCCAGCTGACCCGCGCCCTGCTGCGCCTTTCCCGCGCCACAGGCACCTACATCCCGCTCGCCTCCGCCCTCCTGGAGGTCCTCAACCTCGCCGAGATGCGCAAGCCCCCGAAGACGAGCACCCTGCGCCAGCTGGACTTCAGCACGGCGATCCGGGCGCCCAAGTCCTACCTGCGCACGCGCGTGTACCAGGACGGCGTCGGCGAGCAGGTCGCCGAGCTCCTCTCCGAGTTCTTTGTGCTGTGGACCAAGCACATCGCCTTCCCCGAGCTGAGCGTCCCCGTCGTCGTCGCCCTCAAGCGCTGGCTCAAGCAGGTCAGCGCCCGCTCCGGCGGCAACAAGAACACCAAGATCAACCAGATGATCCTGCTGCTCGTGCAAAAGGTCGAGGCCAACGCCCGCTGGATCGAGGAGAAGCGTCTCGCTGTCACTTATACCCCCCGCAACCGCGCCGAGGTCGAGTCCTTCCTCAAGGATGTCGACTGGGAGAGTTCCCCGCTCGGCGCCTTTGTTAAGTCCCAGCGCAAGCTGCGCGAGGAGAAGGCCGCGTTGCTGGAGCAGGGCCGGCTGGAGGAGGAGAAGCGGCGTGCGGAGGAGAAGGCGGAGGCCGCGAGGGATGTGATTATGGATGATGTTATTAGTGAGAATGATGAGAGTAGTGAGGATGATGACGACGAGGAGGAGGTGGAGGTGGATGGTGTGGATGCCTCTTCTGATGAGGAGGGTAGTGAGGAGGAGGAAGAGGAGGAAGAGGAAGAGGAAGAAGACGAGGATGAGTTGGAGTTCGAAGAAGAGGAGGATTAGATTTCATCCTCGAGTTTTTCTTTCTTAATGTTGGTGTTTGTTTATACCTTATACTCTATGTAGCTATCGGGAAACCCACTGCGTCCAATTTTTTATGTCAATATGAAAAGTTCAAGATCCATTTTTGCTACATCTCTACCAGTAGATTTTGTGCTACCACCAGAGGATAATAGCCAATGAGTAACTCGGAACGTAAATAACATTGAACTTTTATGACTATCGACATAGTCGGAAATCAGAAGAAACACACAAAGTAACACAATCTGAGAAGCAGAGCAGTAGCCAAAACATGAAGATCAAATCACAAATCCCAAGCAAATCACGCCCTCACACGGGACAATCCCACTCATCCCCGACAATTTACATTCCGGTGCCCACGATCTAAACCGACCCAATGGGCATCTTCTCCGCCCCCCACGCACGGGACTGCTCCCGCCGCATGGTCGCATCCTCTTCCTCCGCCCACTCCAGCGACTCGTTGGGGAGCATGACGGCGCGATCGATGGCGACGGGGAGGCCCCGGTGGCGACCGCGCAGGGTCACCGCCGCCAGGATCAGCTTGCTGATGGGGTGCCAGGCGCCGCAGAAGGAGGCGTTCGAGCCCGGGTAGCCGACGCTGACACCCACGCAGCCGTAGGCGGAGACGGTCTCGAAGATGATGTTGAAGGTCGAGAAGGCGACGGGCTGCCTTGAGAAGTGGTCGGATTCCGCGACGCTGATCAGGAAGACGGCCAGCGCGATCCACCAGAGATCGTGGCTCAGCTGGGAGCGCAGCTGCTGGTGGACAAAGTAGCTCCGCGAGGCTTCGGGGCTGGATCCGTCCCGGCGGCCGAGCATGCGGTGTCGGATCAGTTGGATCACGAGGTTGGGCGGCGGGCGCGACTCTTCCTCGCCGTCGGTTGGTTCGTGGGCGTAGATGCCCAGGGACCGTTCTTCGTAGACATTTGTAGTTCTAGACGGTTGTAAGAATGGATTGACCCAGGTTTTGTGGGGGACGGCTGGACAAACCTCATAGTGAGCAGCACGGGGTATGCTGATACATACTATAGATAACGGTTAGTCTATGGCACAGCTAAGAGCTTTTTTGAAGAACGAACCATCATAAGAACTAAGAAATGTTAGCATTTGTTAACAATGTAAAGTTCAGAAAAGTGCCTACCATATAGAACAAGCAACCCCTGACGGAGATCGGCTATAGTCACAACATAAAAACCTCCCGCACGAACAGCTGCAGACAAAATCGCTTAGCCTAGGCTCAATGAACAAACCGTTTTGTGCAACTTACCAGAAGCCTGGAATAGACCATCGAGAACCCGATAGCCTGCGGGTAAGCTCTCAATCTCTTGGTTCCCAATGGCGAGAACCTCGAAGGCCGCCCAGTCTATAGCGTTGAAAATGATAATAGTGGCCAGGAGGAACCACGTATGGCGTCTCGGAAAGAGGTTGGTATACACCTCGACGAGGTTAGTCTATTATACATAGATGATTGTAAGTTGCACATACTCTTCGAGGATGATCAAGGATGAAGTCCAGAGTGACTCTCCACGTGGCCCACGATGGGGAGTTTGGCAGCCCGCATTTCATGACCCAGATAATGAAACGCAGGAAACACGGATAAAGAGTGTTTCCGGCCAAAATAAGGAAGCTCATGGTGAGCAATGGGTAAGCACTGATGATGGAGTCAGCTGACTTTCGAGCTACAACGTCACGATCAGTAGAAATACCTTCTTTGGAATGCAACCATGTTGGCATCCAATAGCGACATGCCGCTGTTGACAAAAGCGGATACCGCGAAGAAGGCGCCTGTCCAAAAAGGCGACAGCCCGTTCTCTCGAGCTTTTTCTGGGTGATTGACAGCGACCCAAGTGCCCATCCCACCCATTCCACAGATGACGAACACGACCCAGTACAGAGTCACAATGACCAGTAGAAAGGACACGGCTCTGTACTCAACGCCTCCTAGTTTCTCTCGCTCCTCGGGGGTAAGCCCGTGAAATTGAGAATTGCGTGAAATGAGGCCCTTAGACGCGAAATACTTCTGCGTTCCCTTCAAAATGCCCTTCAGCGCAGGCATACTGTTTTCTTCCTCCTCTCGCTGTGGCGACGGCGGAGCGACATCCCTAGGGTGATTGTTCAGATCCATACGAGCCCCGACCCCTACCATGGGAAAGACGCGATGGTGGTGCTGATGTCGGTTTTTCAAATGACCAAGAGTGACTTGGTCATCATCAATCCAATGGATCTGGTCCTCGTCTGAGGACGACGCGATCGCTTCTGCAGCTGTGACACGGGCTTCTGCCGTAACCTTGGATTTGTCAAGAAC